TCTTATTCCAATTCTAATACAAATCACATTATGTTGAACTAAACTATTGCACATAAAAATATTATATAAATTAAACGAGGTGAAATATTTTAAATATAAGAATCAAGCATTATGAATTATGCTATCCATGAGGACATTTACTCACACAAAGCTACTCGCGCTATTACCAGACGCGCAAGTAAGCCCTTCAAAGGATGTTTCAACAACAAAGCTTTATCCCTGGAGAGCCTCTGGGAATTATTTAGTCATTTATATATTACCGACGGTTATCGCAGACGATTATTCCTTTCGTCGATGTAAGGCAGAAGGTTAATCCTTCGTCTGCGAGCATTTATGCAACAATAGAATATACTTGCTTGGCAAGCATTAATATGCCTCAAAGCGTGGCATTAGCCTCACCGAGTTTAAATGGCAAAGAGTGCGGACATCGATAACGACTCAAACAATTATCCTGTTTATATATCCGCGCGGTGGAGTTTAAAACGAAGATGATTATTGTTATCGATTTTTAATCTTTTGAGAGAATGGCATCATGATTTCTTAGCCCCCGACGTGGCTGATCGTTCCAAACCCAAGATTAATATACTCATTATAGGAATTGGCGCGCGCTAAGTCTCGGGGCGATCTCGCTGCATCATCTCTCGCGACTATGAATACATTCTATAAATAGACCCGTTGCATTATTCGCCGCGTTAATATCGCAATAACTGCACCACGCGCACCTCTTGCTAATTATTTTTGATCTTATTTATTCACCGGCGTGCACGCTTAAAGGGGGCAGATTAAAACGTTATGCCGAACGCGCACGTGCGCAAATATGTAATTCTCTCACTTTAATTGGCTTTATGATCGATCGCTTGCACAACTATATACGTATATAGAACACACACACGTTCGTATGCGCGTATATGACGTCCTTTAATATACGACGAGCCAAGCTTTGGCGCTACGTTTATTGTATATAAATATAGCCGGGTTATATACAGGCTCTACATACGTAACTATGAAATAAAGCTTTGTTCCATAGAAAAGAGACGGAGATTTGCACGCTGGAAAGTACCTAAAATGGCAGACAGAATTGCGTATTTGGTACATTTGCAATGAGTGTAAAAAAGTGTACTCAATTAGGATTCATTATGTAGTGTGTGTAAACCTCATAAAAATGAAAGAAATGTTTGTACACCGAAATATGTCTAAAAATTGGAATAATATTCAATAAAAATCCGTTTATTTTGAAAATTTTTTTACTGATACTCGTGAATCAGTTGAATCTTGCGCGCCAATCAAAAGCCACACATAAGTAAACTTGCTCTCATTTTATCAACAGATCTCTCGCGAAATTTAACGAATTTTAATTTCGAGACAATCGTTGACGCACGCGCATACAGGGCGACGTCGACAAATCAGAAAATACCTCGCTCACTCTCGTGCGTTGTGAGAGCGTTACACAATATGTAGCTACTATTGCACTTTTCATTTCTCCCCACTTTCTAAAAGTATTATTGTTTTATAAGCCTTATGAAAGCGAGCAACGCTATGGCAATCTCCTTTTTTTGTCGACGAGGGCCCCTGTAAGCGCTATAAGCGTTATATTTTTCGCGACGCGCTTTCTCTCTCTCTCTCTCTTTTTCTGGCAATCTTCGTCGAAAGCATGAAAAGTGGAGGCTACTCGTTCATCCTTGTTACATTTTTTCTGTTCTAGCATTTTTAATATATATAACCTGTGTTACGCTGGCTGTTATGCAATTAATCGCGTCGAAAATATTTCCCACCCAAAAAATGTCCTTCAAGAGATTGAATTACCGAAAAGCACATAACGGTCGGTTTTTTAATTAAAAAATTTCTCGTGCGGGTGGCAATATCGCGAGATGAAAAATTTACCTCAAGTTTTTCAAAAACATTGATATTAGCCACACGAGCTTTTTCATAGTTCCACGCGCGTTGAAAACCTTCGAGGATTATTTATTTATGCTCGCGCACGGTATATATTACGTTTTGATTTTTCTCGATTTTTAGCGTAAGGGGGTGGTAGCGTATACAGAAAATGAAACGTTAAGAGTCGTACCCGTACTCTTCAATCTCAAATTTAAAGCGAAACACCAATGGATAATCGCTAAATAATCGATTTTTTCCCCTTTGGCAACAGCATGGTTCGCTGGCGATTCGGTACATATCATATAGCGCGAGCGTCCATATGCGTTTGTTCGTCCTTTTTACACAAAAAGGACTTTTTTTAGAGAGAAACTCTGTTTTTGCTCGATATATAAACATTTTGTTTTTGTCTGTCTGCGAATTTCTTCTCGCTCGACCGACCGAAATACATTTACATAATGAATCGATCGATTCGTTTATCGACGCCAGACGTTTCCTTTTAAGTTGCTCTACGATACAGCATTTTCAGATATTTTTATTGACACAACTCTTTTCCTTTTTTTTACCATCCATTATTTGGTCGCGAGACAGATAATAGATCGTTCTCTAGAGTTTCGACTTTGTAGTTCTTGGTGTTCATTATTTGCGTCGTGTTACACTACTGTGCGTGTTACAACGCGGCGGTGGCTCTGCTGTAGCAAAACAACAAACGTGATAATCGTAGGTGTCGGCGGTGGCAATTACTTTGTACGAATATATCCTGACGGTTGATTGTAGCGCGCGGCAGGCTCGCACAAATACATGCACAGCACAAGCACACACTGATAACCAATAATTAGACTGCTATGTACATCCCTTGTAGTCTTCCCTTACAGCCCTTTGCAGCATGGCAGCCTTATTTCCAATTATTTTTTGTAATATTTTTCAAACAATTACATGTTTTCCTCGGTACTGTCGTTTTTCCTTGCGTATTCTTTAAAACATTTTTTCGGCCTAGGATATTTTGTCAACGATTTTATTCATATTTACTCGTCGTTTGATTCGCTAAATAAACACACAACGCACCGATTTTGTTATCATAGTTTTCCACAAAAACGTTTACTTTCAATCTGTCTATACGTGAATGCGTAAAATCCGTGCAAACATCGATTGACAAAGTTAGGTTGACTGATGATATATGCGTTTCAAAATTCACTGTCTTTTTTTACGTTCCCTCTATTTTCTTGCTGTTTCATTTTTCTCGCCGATACGCTATCGCGCGTGCCGAACTCTGCTGTCTTTGAACGCGTTTGCATGTTTCGTCATTATAGAATGAAAAATGACAGTCGCGATCGATCAAGTGAATTTCGTTATTTTTTGTTTTTCGTCGGTTAACTTGATTTTTCGTGTTTTTCGTTGAAAAAAAAGATATACTCCCATTAATTTTTGAATACTATCTGATTCAGAAGAAATTGCTTATGCATGGAACCTAATTAAATATATATCACTCGCACTGAATATGCAAATGAAGCGCAGGCGTACGCGCGAGCTTATAATACCCTAAGCGAAGCGACGTCAAACGTAGCGTAAGGCTCGATATATGCATAGATCGGAGAGACAAAAACAAAAAAAAGTCTCGCTAACTCCAGATAGGAAAGAAAAAGAGCTCGCCAACGGTATATATATATCCGAGTTTAATCCTGCATGAATAGTGAAGCACGTTCGTTGCATGCGCGCGCGCGCGTTCCTCTATCCCATGCACACACCCTTTTTACTCGATTTTTACTGCGCGTGCAAAGATTAATACGCTTTTATGGTACGTGTGTGTGTGTATATTTCCACACGTGTGCGTGTACAGATATATATTGGCCGCTGCAAAGCTATACATATCGGTGCGTAACGCAAAGAGAGATGCATTCAGTGAATCGTGAAAGATGCCCGTCCCATGAACAGGCATTTTTTACTTGTCCGTTCAAATGCGCGCTTATGGAGTGTTCATCCGTACTGTATCGCGCATTGCAGGCCATTGCCATTATGAAGCGTATAGGGCAAATTCAAAGTTTTCCTATTTTTCATGCGAGTGCTTTCACGCTATTTGCAAAATTACATGTACGTACAGTTGATGAATTTCGATACTCAAAAAACGTTAAACACCTAACGCCAAAATAATCATGAAGATAATAATAACGTATGTTATATAGCACCACTTTATAAAAATAAATCAAACAATCGATCGAACCATTGAACCTCGAGCGTGTGTTTGTGTCATTGACACACTGTAAAAGACAATTATATGACCCCAATGAATCAGGTGCTTAGCCCCCTTAAATCAGTGCGACTAGCTCCCTCTCCTCCTCGATACATTTTTCTGCTTTTGTTCTTTCCTTCCTTCCTTCTTGCCGCATAGCACTCCTCTAGTAAGCACGCGAGCGACCTTTGCTTAGAGAGCAAAAAAGGGTGAAATCGACTTTTTCACATTGACTTCGTCTCAGACTTTTCTGTGATTTTCTCGTGCGCCGTGTATATATAACGTTATTCTCGTCTTGCTTTATCCTTAGGAGCAGCTTTTTCACGTTGCTGTGTGACAACGGTTTTTTTCTACAGCTGGATTTTTCACGTACATAAAATGATGATAATTATCATTTGTTTCTACTTTTACATTTTAAAAATGTAAAACAATTTTTTTATAATGTCATTTTATACTGTAGGTGGAAAAACTCATTTTAATCTTGCATAATTCCGTTGAAAAATAAAAAAATTTTAAATGCAATTTTTTTCGAGCATACTCCACAATATTCAAAACTTTTATTTTGGAGGTGTTGTAATAAAATTATAGTGTCTGATTAAACTTTAACTAGTTAGTGGAAGTCGCGCTACTAAAAAATGTCTTGATGGGCTAATGCAATAATAATTATAAAACCACAATTACATAGTTATGTGAAAATTGTCATTTACATAAATAAATTTTAATTAGCATTGAAAACAAAGAAAAACAGCGTTGATTAATGTATGAAAATTATGATAAAAAGATGAGTGCGTACTTTTCCTCGAGATTCATTTCAATTTTTTGATAATACAGAGTAATGATTCGATTTGAACTGACATTATTTAAATAATTTTCTACTCTTATCGTATATTATTCTTTGTAGTTACTGTGCATCAATGGCTTTTCCGCCGCGTTTGGCACCACCCCTGAAAAGACCACGACTCATGCAACAATCAGTTCGATCTCAACAGCAGCAGCAGCAACAGCAACAGCAACAACAACAGCAACAGCAGCAGCAGCAACAACAACAGCAGCAGCAACAGCAGCAGCAGACGAAACAAGCCAAAGTGACGAATATCGCTGTGCAGGATCTCGGCCAATTAAAAGTTTATAGTGAGTTTCGTCGTAACGTACGCCGCAACACCTTATCACCTTTGTACATTGGGCTGATGGTATATACGTATATAATATGCCATATATTATATTCAGATGTATAAGAGTGACGCTTACGCGCCGGTTTTAATTAATTTCAATTGTGACAAGCGCAAAGTTTATCATATCATATATATAATATATAATACGTCGTCACGTCTGACTGCAGAGCGAGTCGCGCTACTTTGTTTCTATTTCCTGAATTGCACATAACGAGTGTAATATACGTTACATCTCGTTCGGCTTGCGTAGCTTAGGTAAATTTAATCTATCTAACGTATAAAAAAATGCTTCCTAATACCGTGTTGGTGTGCGTTGGTGACGACGACGACAACGACGACAACGACGACCGCATTAGTAGTGCTTAACGTCGTGCCGATCGTGTATAACCCAGGCGCAGTAAAAAGATAACTATAAAGCGCGAATAGACAAATGAGCTGGTTAGAATAAAAAAAAACGAAGTCGAGGAGAACTACTAAAGCTAAATCGACCACCGACGTCTCTGCAGCAGCAGCAGCTATACCACCGCTATGCACACGCTCGTGCGGCAGCCCCGTAATTTTTCGACGGTCTGTGCGAAACTGCGAGGGCAACGAAGCAAAAGAGCGTCCGCGTTTACATGGCTTTTCGCGCTAACAAGCCAGTCAAAAATGCTAGCAAGAGCTCGAAAAAAGCTCCTCTCATTGGCTTTAACTATATGTATACGCCGGCTAGCTCAGGCGTATTCTTTTCACTCACTCTTCCTTTCTCTCTCTCTCTCTCTCTCTCTCTCTTTCTTGTCGTTTTATTTCAACATATTTTTTTCTTCCTCTCTGTTTCCTTTCGACGCAGGCAATCCGGACATACTAATTTGCGGCAACTGCCGAGAATTGTTCACGGATCTCGGAGAGCTGCTCGAGCACAAGCGGGATTACTGCAAGCTGCGGTTCACCTGCAAATGCCACACGTTCAACGGTGCCACTCCTAGTAAGTGTACACATGTACCGTATACACATACTTATTACGTATGTAGGAGCACGCGGGACAAAAAATTATGTGCGCGGCGGCCCCGCGCCGCTATAAATGTACACGTAAGCTCTGTGTCGGAGTTGAAATAAAAAAGCCTCTTGCCCCCCTTTGCTCTCTCGCGCGCGATAGCTAAAGAAACTCTCTGCTCGTGGGCTCGCGTCCTCGGGCTCGTTGTTGAAATTTCTCGCACGCAATTCATTTGTGCAGTGCGTCCACAAGCTCGCCGGAGTCACATGAGCATGAGCCCGTGCGCGCATTATGCGAGACTTGTTAACTCAATTTGATGGTAATAAAATAAAAAAAATTCGCCCAAATGAGCTCTTTCATTTTCATTCTGCGCAAGAGTGAATATAATGATGAGATACACGTGTTTTTATTTTTTTTATTTTTTATATATACGCGTCCATAGTCAATCCCCGTATTTCCATTTCGACGATGCGTATTCGTATGCACCCTCCTGTTACGCGCGCATACGTTGGATATGGATTCGACTAATTAGTAATGTAAAACAAACATTATATAACACGAGCGCGCGAGCGGGTTCGGAAATTTGTCCAATGCCATTGTGTTATCATGCGCGGGGGGAAGGGAGGGCGTGGAGGAGCTTACTTATACATTTAATTACATCGATCAAAGCACGCGGACGGCATTAATATCACGCGATTCATCATTGCCGTCGCCATCATCATCATCGCGTCGTTCAAATTTGCAGAGAGCTCGGCGGCATCGCTGTTGTGTGCCCTCTGCAAGGACTCCTTTCCGTCGGCTTGGGAACTGATGGTGCATGCCCAAGCGGCACACATGATCAACATTTATGATCTTGGAACAAAGCCAGAAATTCATCATTCAGTAAATCAGAATCAAAATAGCAAAGAAATATCCTCGCATTCGCCAACTCTCAGGGTGAGTTGGACATTATGCTCTATTAAAGTCGTATACGCTTCAGTGATTTAAAAATTATGATTATTATGATTTCTTTCATTTTTACACAAAAAATATTTCTTTAGTAATTAGCCTTATAATTCTACTAGCGATACCCGTCGTGGCTTCGCTCACGTTAAATCTGTAAGGAGTAGGAGAATATTTATAAAAACGAAATAATATTTAAGACTTTTTTTGCATAAAGACATTAAGAAATATATTTACAAAAGTGCTTGAGGGTATGATTCACAATTAGGAATGACAGAAGATTTGAAGTAAGCAACGTTCATCGTACGACAACGAAACGTATAAAAGGGAAACGTAAACAAAGCCATTTAAACGATTAAACTGAAGAATTCTAGATTAACTTTTTTAATAATTGTGGAATATCACCAATGAACGATGAGCGATGAGTGCGGGGGAGCGGGTGAGTGAGTGCGAAGTGGTAAAAAACGAAAAAAATTCAAAACTCAAGAACCAAAAAGTAAAAACGTATTCTAAGATCATAGAAACCTTTCCAGTGGTATAATGAATGTATGGTAAAAATTTCAAAACGATCGGACGGGTAGTTTTTAAGAACATAAAATACAAACAGACGTCGATTCTGCTTTATATATATAGATATAGAATACAAACAAAATCGTTCGACTTTACCAAAACACCGTTTACATCTGTGACCCTAATTTTTTTTCGTGTTTTTGGCTGAACAGGAAAATAAGCTGTCGGACGAGGTCGAGGAAGAGGACGAATTGAACGGCCATCATGAGTTACTACCGTCGCCTGACAGCGGCAAGTCGACCGACAACGAGAACGCATTGTCGCCCATTAAAATCAGATCGGAGACGAACGGCGGATCGGATCACGAGGATTGCGACGTGCTCATGCTCGTCGAGAATAGAAATTCCACGAGCGAGTCGTGCTTTTCCCGCCGTCCCATTGCCATTGTGAGTATATATAAAACGTCTACTCTTAAAAAACAGTTTCTTTCGACTGTATTATGGATGTAAGCGCAAACGCTCTTCTGTACATCATTACAGCTTTAGTTCTCAAAATTGGAGCTCCTTTTTTTTTATTAAATTAAAAACCCGTAATTTTTACCTCTTTAAATACTTATCAAGTAAAATAATTTCATTTGGGCATGTATATTATTAAAAAACTTCCAAAAACGAATGTAACTATCTAAATCAGATGGTCATGTTCATAGCATCGGTGCTCTAGCAATACCATTTCTTTCATGTAAAATCAGCTCATCTCTTAGCGCAATCTTCCATATCCATCTACGTAAATCACGCTTTAGTAATTATTTGACAAAAGTCATTCATTTCAGTCTCTGCATGTATGCAGGCTTGTGAATAATGACACGTGTGATTTAGCCGCATGACTGATTGTTTCGTTAATGGATACCCGTGTAATTTCGAGCTTCGTAAAAAAACGTCGGTTTCGTTTTAAATTTTTTAAAAGCTTTACTCGTATCAACAATAATTTATTAACAGATTTACTTTTGATGAAAATATCTCCGAGAAGATTTTATTCGAACTTTTTTCGTGATTTTTTCAAAGGTCCTCGTCAACGAGATCATCGCGTGCGCACAAAACGTTAATTATCCTCTTTTAAAAGTGATGGACTATTTTCGGTATATGCTTACCAAGTTTTTTTGCAAGTTTCGTTCGAATGTGAAGAAGGATGGATAAGATAAAAAAATGTACTAAAACTTCGAATTTTATTTTTACAACTCGCTCTCGTATAATAACAATTAGCAAATTAGATGATTGAAATAATTTGATTGAATGAAGTATCTCTGCAATCTTTTTTTCAATGGAATGTTTTCATCACGATTATTTAGTAATATACGTTTGCAGAAAGGGACCATTAAATACACAAACGAATTTGTGTATTTATTCTGTTTACTAATGGCAATGATATATTAATGCATTGAATCCATTTGCAGGAATCAACAGTAGAGCTAAATGCGAGCCCGACTACTGTGCTAAGCAACTCCGAAGCCGTGCGCACGGCACTGACCAATGGAGCGATCGCAACCAAGGACTAGATTCTCAAATCACAACATCCAATTATTTAAACTTGAAACATATCAATTAACATGTACGAGGAGTATAAGTAAACTCGAAAATAAATCTGTAAATAGCTTCGATGATCATGAAAAAGGAATTAAATGATAAATTGAACAAAAAAGGAAGATTTGAATTAACGGTAATGAGAGCGCTTCACAATTTCCAGTTTTTTTTAACTTAGAGAACTGGCCTTTCCTTAGTGATAAATAATTTGTTTGTTATTTTTTCAAGTGGTTAGCGTTATGTTGAAAAAATAAAAAATTCCATATATTGTTATTAAAATTGTTGTTAAATATGTGCGTTAGATTTAAACGATTCGATTAATTGTCACGTTTACATCCACTATGTTTGTACGAATATGTTTCATATAATTTTAAGTTAATAAAAGTAAAATCCACGTTACGACTGCAAATTAATATTAAAAATAATTATATTTTAAGTTCGATTCGCCTTACTTATCATGTTTGTAGATTATACTGATACTATTTATTCGTATCAACTCTGTATTAAAGTAGTACTTGTATTTGTTACAAGATAACCCTCTCTATAAATCTTTAATTATTATCTAATAATCCATCTACTTCGATATTAAATCAGATTCATAATTTATTTATCTAATATGTATATATTACATATGGATATTATTGTATAGCTTTCACACTATTTTAAATATTAATTCACAAACAGGCCAATCAAAATAGAGTTATAGAATTCGAGGAAAAAATATGATCATAATTTTGTCGCAGAGATCGCCATTTTCGTAGTAAAGATTTTTTCATCAATTGGTTCGTCTATATGCGTGTTTGTAAATATGAATCAAGTCAAACGTAATACTTGATCACATAATAGTATATTTAATCTTTTACGATTAAAAATTATGTAGATCATCGAAAATAAATATATTATGAAACATCATGGATAGGTTTATTCTTGAATGAACAAAAAACTGGTGCAATCTCTGAAAGGAATTTAATATAAAGATACATTTCAACTAATTGTGTATTATAATGATCTAAAAAAAATCTGGTCTCACGTAAAACATAAATATAATTAAATGAAAACGTTAAAAACAATCTATACAAAACAGCTTTTATATATCATACAGCTGAAACATGTATATATGCACTAAAACTCGAAAAATAAAAATTTGTGTATTTTAAAAATTATTGTCGACGATTCTTCGTTGTGGAAACTTATGTAACCAGATAAAATTTCTGCTGGATTGAAAAACCACGTATAGAACTGTATTCCAATAGCACACTAAATATTTTTAAAATTGTAATGGCAAAAATTATTTCAAATTTCAAGTTTGATTATTCTTTCATCAAAGTTTGTTGAAGAAATAAACGTTCTGAGCTACACAACATAACGAAGTAAGAAAGATGTAAAATTAATATTATTTTAGTTTAAATGGTTTTGTGAATGATACTCATTATTATACTGAAGAAAATATAATTATAAACATTCAAATTTCAAAATGATACATAAATTGTTGCATAATAAATAGTCATAAAATCACAATTTGTATTTTTATATGATGAGAAGTCCCAAAAACACTGTAGATTCTCTTTTCTTTTAAAATGCATTTTTGCTTTACGTTTTCAGCGGTGAATGTTTTTAACCATACTTTTTGCAGATAATTATTACTTTTGAAATTATACGATTAGTTAGTTTTTATTAAAAAGTAAATTTATAGTTGCGATTCAAATAGAACATTTAAAAAAAGCATGAATACCGTTTGCTCTATTTTATTACATAAAACGCTTAATATTTTATTATAATTATTATTTTATAATATTTATTTATACTTTTTATTTTAGTTGTCTAGGTGCTTTGATATTTCAGTTTTTACTTAATTGACTTTTTCATTTAAATTTAATGACTTCTAATTTCTCAAAGCAAGTGCGAAAATCAATCATTTAAAGCTGAATAAAATCAACAAAGTAACCAACAAATATGAGACGACATTCTTTATTATCAATATGACTGATGTAACTCTTTTCTTTACGACAAATTTCCTGCAGCCAGCTAATAATAAGTTCAATGAAACCAATATTCGCACGCAGCGTAGAAAGGAAAACAGTAAGTTATAATAAAGCAAATAATCAATCGTCTCGAGAAAATGAAGTACGCCCCACGTACCTGTGTATTTGTAGCATTAACTCGCAAGCGAAGCATTATCGAAGCTGAAAAAAAGTCCACGGCGATGAAGCACACATCATAGCGCTTATACCGTAGCGCGTCCGCAAAACAAGAAAAAAAGAAAGAAAAAAATAATAAAAGCACACGCAAACGCTAGACAATATAAAAAAAAGACGCTGCGATGAGACGCGGCAAGCGCGGATAATCTTTAATGAAAGTCACGGTAACAACGGGTGATCCTTGGTTTGTAACGAGTAACGTCATCGTTTGATCCCTGATCTTTCTTTTTACATGTACGTGAGTTTCATCTTTTTCCACACACACACACACACACACACACACACACACACATACCAACACATTTGCCGATACAAACTTACTGCAGTAAATCCCGTGAAACAATGTAGGGGTGAGATTAAAGCAGAAACGTGCATTAAAGGCGATCTACTCTTCTTTCACATATTTAATAACGCTATGATTTTTTCCGATCTGTTTTCGTGTGTTGAAAAATTATAATAAAATTTTGGTAACGTCATAATTAAAAGTTTAATGATAATTTTGATGTGAACTGAAACTATAATACCGAATTTTGATTACTTTCCTTTTTAATTAAAGGTAGTCATACACCAATTCACTCCTCTTTGTCATTTTTGTAATATAAACCACAGTTTTATGTCAATCTACATTTTCAACACAAAATTGACACTTTGATCTCTAAAAAATTTGAAAAAATTTACAGAATTGTCCTTTGCATCTTAAATAGCTTATTTTTACTATTTTAGCCTTTCGACACTGTGCGCAAGGTTCAGATCAGAGTTATTTAGGTGACCATCCCGAATAGGAATCAAAATCTTCAGAAAAGTATCCTTTATGGGCTGAGTTTATCGGAATTTTGAGTAGAGTTATAAAAAAGATTGTATACCAACAGATGTGAAAAAATCAAGAAATAAAAAAAATTTATTAATGTTTTTGAGCACATATTGAATAATAGATCTGATATGAAGGTCTAAATCAAAATTCCAAAAAACTCAGCCCATAAGAGATACTTTTCTGAAGATTTTGATTCGTTTTAGGCATGGTCACCTAAATAACTCTGATCTGAACCTTGCGCACAGTGTCGAAAGGCTAAAATAGCGACAATAACCTATTTAAGATGCAAAGGACTTTTCTGCCATTTTTTTCACATTTTTTAGGGTTCAAAGATGTTAATTTCATATTGAAAATGTAGATTAAAATTAAAATGTGGTTTATATTACAAAAATGACAAAGAGGAGTGAACTGGTGCATGACTTCCCTTAAGTTAATGGATAACAATGGTTTAACTGAAAATTATTTTTTATAAATTTCATTTACAAATATAAATTTATCAATAATATTAATACTTTTTCCACCCATTTAAACATTAAAACATTCTTCCCCTCAATTCTTCATGTATCGACAATCTACCTCCTCCGTAAATATCCTCAGGCTGAAAGAACCCTCTCTCGTTTTAAAACTACTTACGAGATCGTGTGACTATTGTAGTGCTTCATCTGTGCGTAGATGACGTCGTGTAGAATATGCATTTTCCCCTTGTAGACTTTCAAAAATCTTACACTACACTGGAACACTCTTTCCGTCGACTAATGAGTCTCTTGTTCCCCAATTAGGCACGCGTCAGCAAGAAAAACGCTCTATGAGTGAAGAAGGAAGAAGAAAGAAAGAAAAAATGTTGTACTGCGTGGTTTTAAAATAATTAGCAAAAACGAGAAGGTGTAATCTACGAGTTTGTGGATGTAAACGAGCGTGAATTATTGTTTTTTGAGCAAAATAAGCCTCTCAACATATCAGCAACAAATTTAATGTCAAGTACTAATTCATGAGAATGTTTTATAAAAATGCAGTATTCATGCAAAATAACTTATTTATAAAATAAAACTTTTTAAAACACACTATAAATTAGATGCGATTTCTTTATAAAAAATTATTTTTACAATGTCACAGGATTGTCATGATAAAAAAATTACAATGACGCTTAAGGTACACTAACATAAATTACTTATTAACTCAACAGACTTATTGACAAATTTCTCCCTCGACGTATTTGGCGAAGACTTTGATTGCTTCGAAAGTTTCCTTTCCAACTGGAATGATGTCGCTCGGTGGTGGAGCAAAGCCATATTGACCACCAGGTAATTCGACGGTGTAAGCTAGATCGATACCAGCTTTGCCCATTGCCCAATCGTCGCTACCGCCAGCAGCAGCATCTGTAATATCATAATAAAACGTTATCATGATTACGATACTAGACAAGAATTCAAAATATAAAAAAAAACAAAGCACAATTTTTTTTGTCCGATAATTATTAGAGTTTACGAGAGTGGGACAACATGGCACAAATCAAGAGGGAACTTATTATCTAATCTTTTATCAATAAATCATTAATTTTGCAGTCAAATGTTACTACTCATTTTGTAATTGATTTCAAAGATACCATTTTAAATGTTTCGATTATACTTACACAAAGTATTGGTCGAGCTTCCAATTGTATAACGAGTTCCGCGAACTTTGGATAAAGCAGCTTCAGCTTTTTCAGCGGCGCAACGCTGTAAAAAAATTGTCATTATAATTCAGTTTTTTAAAAATTCTTTAAATAAAAGATAACAGCACTTACCAAAGCTGGTTCATTTTTAGGTAATTCAGTTGTGAATCCCCATGGATGAAGTAAGTACTGAAATAAAACGTATTCATTTTATCAATTATTATAATTAATTGTAAATGATCAAAATTTAAATGCAACACATTAAACTTTAGTTGATAATTATATGAGTAATGCAATAAAAAAATTTTAATTTGATAAAAATTATGTTTATATTGCGAAATATAATTTCAAAATAATTTACTTACTTGTCCATAGGAGTGGAAACTTAGATAAACTTTAATTGTGCCTCGAACAGATTCAAGAAAATCTCTCAAAGCTTTGGCTTCTGGTTCAGAGAAAGCTTCTGGTCCGGCATAAATGTCACTGCATGGATCATCGGAAGCTCCAATAGCTGAAATATATTTTTTTTAAAATAATTGTACTTTTCAATTGTAACCATACAATTTGTTTAACTGAAACTCACTGTTCCACATCATTCCAAAGTTTCTGTTGGCATCTACTCCAACGCATCGCGCAGATCCTGAACGTGAGCGAGTTTTTCTCCACATACGGGTCTGAAAAAAAAAATTTTTTAATGTCAGACTTTGCCTTTGAAAATTACCAGCAGCAATCGTTCAATTGACGAAACACGACGTACCACAAAGCTCTTCTGCGTGAATTCGTAGCCATCGGGATTCAGAGAGGGCAGAACGTAAATGTCGACCTTGTCGAAAATGTCGGCGCTGTTTGGATCCTCGGCCAACTGTTTGATGATGTAAATGGCAGTCGACGGGGCGATCCACTCGCGAGCGTGAATACCAGCGTCAATGAAGAGGGCCGACTTGTTTTGGCCACCCTTGGAAAACTTGACTCCGACGAGGTCGCGGCCCTCGTAGGATTTGCCCATGTTAAACAGCGTCACGATGTCGCTGCGGGTCTGAGCCAGAGTTTCCATGTAGGCTTTCATCTGCAAAACAATGACGCATGAAGTGCATCGTTTAATTGTAAATTTCATCACGCATTCTACGAATTGGTAATACTTGAGAAATATTATACAATTTTAATAATGTAACTTGCACATTGATTGCAAAAGCAGTGGTGATAATTACGTGACCGGATCAAAGATAAGCGTTCGATGCACGCTTACTTCGATTAAAATTTTGAGAGGTGACAAATCAAGATGTTTATCTCGGATATTGGAAAGTAGCACCTCGAAATAAAAAACCCTATTATGACTCACCTCGGAGTATCGCAAGAATCTCCTGTTGTTTGGGCTTACGCCGCCAGCTTTGAAGCTGCGCATCATCTTCTGCTGCATGTCTTGGGCCCTCAGGACTTTGCTGACGTCGTCGACGAAAATCTCGTACCTAATTTGGTTGTAGTTCATGAGGCTCTTGAAACTCGACAATCGGTCGGGTGCGACGAGGACCTCGAACGTGCCGTCTTCGTTGCGTGGCATTTTCAAGAAGTCAAGACCCTGCTGGCCTTCGCTACGGACCAATAAGTCGACTTTTTCTTTGGTGTCGGCAAACAGTCTGAGCCCTTGCATGCTACGAGAGGCAAGCAAAATTATACATTTATTTTTAAATTTTTACAATGATTAACAAAAAATTCTTTTTTTTTGTATGATGTAAAGACAGATATTCTTACCCGAAAACCGAGGGTATGTATTCGGCATCGTTAGCGTTGCTGATGCCGCAAGCGGCCAAAACAATAAAGACCAATCCTAACACCCTCATGGCTGCACGAATTATGATGACAATACGATCTATTCGACTAATATTTATACCTTCCGATCAGAGCCATTGATATCAGTTTTTTTTTGCACGATAGTTAATCAAGCGTCCGATTAAAAAATGCGTGTATTCCAATCAGTCATTTATCTTATTTCACAGGGAAAGAGAGAGAAAGAGAGATAACATGATTGATAATATTACCTGATGAGCTACCGCTTTTAATTGCTTGTGTATATATCATTGAGAATCGCGAGCGCGTGTTTGTTTTCATCATCTCGCGTTGACAATAAAACACTTCTGCGATGACTAGTTCGAGGTTTTTTGAAACGCTTTAGGCAGCCTTTGTTTTGTTTTTAGCTTGCTGTTTTTTTTTTATTTTTCGTTACTTTTGCAATGTCGTATGTGCTGCACTATAAATTATACATAGATGTAGCTAATTAAGTAGGTCAGATATAAACGACAGCGACGAAACGTGGCTCTAAATTTTAAATGTTGCACTCGGTACGTGCACAAACTCGGCGACACTTTTACAACTCTAAAAATTATCGACGATAATTATACAGTTGCACCTGCGTTGATTTTTTTATTATTTACATGGAAGCGTTCAAATGGCTCTAGCGAAGCGGCACGAGGAGCTTTGGAAAAATTGGTTAATTGCGACAAATTGTTGTTAATTTGAGCTTGGCAATCAATAATAAAAACTTTTCGCAATTCATCTTTTATTACACAATTATAATTAAACTGTACACTTGATTTACATTATCAAGCCTGGATTTAAAATATTATGAAAAAAGACCACTAACATTACGTTTATGCCTAACAGTTCTTATGTTCTATAACGAGGTACGAACGTCATTCCCATCTGCATCAGCAAATTTGTTTATCAATGTAATTAGCGAAAACTTTGATTGCCTCAAAAGTCTCTTCACCTATGAAATTAATGTATTTGGGCGGTGGCGCGAATTGAAAATATCCTCCCGGTAACTCAATGGTATAGCTCAGTGGAACTTTTCCAACAGCCATGACGTAGTCATCGCTGCCTCCAGCTGCGGCATCTGTAAAGAGCAAACGTTAATTTGTTTCTTGTAATTGTGTTTGCAAATTTGCGTTGACAAGTGAACTTACACAGCAAGTTTGTCGAGCTTCCAATTTGGTATGGCGTACCGTTGACCTCCTGGAGAGCTTTGGCGGCTTTTTCCGCTACACATTTCTACAATTGGATGGTTTTTTTTTGAGTGAGCAAATCAGGAATATATTATTCAAAAACTAAATGTTTAAATTTTACCAGAGTAGGTTCGTTCACAGGCAAATCGGATGTGTATCCCCACGGATGTAACATATACTATAAATTTAAAATTTTTTGAAAAAAAATTATAAATTTTAATTGAGAAACTATTAAAATGATTGAAAAATCACCTGTCCAAATGAGTGAAGACTTAGATAAGCTTTTATATCATTTTTATGTGCCAAAACGAAATCCCTTAATGCTCTCGTCTCTGGCTCTGAAAATGCATATGGCCCGGCGTATGTATTACTGCATGGAACTGATGAAGTACCAGCACCTGTAAGTTAAGTCAAGAAGTAGTGATATCTTCAATATCACACATCGACGTTTCCCACAAAGAGTAGCACGGTTATATGTTAAATTAAATGGAGACGTTTTACTCTTCGTGGGGAGCATTGATATAGTTTTTATATTAATTTGAAAAAAGTAATTAAAAAACATTTTACCTAGCCAATTAAAATCAAAATTACGATTAGCGTCGACTCCAAAACAATCAGAACCGGGGAGCTTTGACCTCGTCTTTCTCCACAATCTCGTCTGCAAGTGAAATGAAAACTCGGCATTGTTTTTCGATCCACCGAAACAGTTCACTTATCACTCACCGTTTCGTTGTGATGGGTGTACTCGTAACCGTCCGGATTGATCATCGGTATGATGTATAAGTCGACGTTCTGAAAGATATATCTACTGCTGGGATTTTCGGCTAGCTGTTTGATAGCGAACAAGGCCGTGGTCGGGGCAATCCATTCTCGCGCGTGGATACCGGCGTCGATCAGTAGGGCGGGTTTACGACCGCCACCTGTTGAAAATTTTACAATCAGCAGCTCGCGACCCTCGTAGCTCTTGCCTATGCTGGATGTCGTGACGTAGCCCTCATAAAGTTGACCGAGACTCTCCAGGTATTCTTTCACCTGAGATTTTATAATTTTATAATTTTTTTACAACTGATCTGAAAAACATTTACACTTACCTCGTTATATCTCGGGTAATATGTGAGAGGCAGTTCTTTTTCATCCCCGAAACGCATGGTTATTACTTGCTGGGCATTCATCTCTTTTCGAATCATTTCGTGCACGTCGTCGGCATGAATTTCATACCTGATCCCGTGCTTTTGTAAAGTATTTATGAATGATTGCACATTATTCATGGATACCAGTACCTCAACTGGCCTCAATTTGGATCGAGGCATTAGCAGAAAATCGAAACCAAGTTGACCTTCAAAACTCGCTACTGTTTTCATCTGTTTATCGGTATCGCAAAATACTCTCAGGGCTTTCATACTTTAAAAAATGAAAAAAAATTATGAAATTCCAAATTGATGGCTATAATTTTTTTTAAAATTTCATCAAATTATCTACTGTCCTTTTTTCTGAAGTTCAAATTATAATTAAATGTTGAAGAGACTATATGTACTTAACCTTAGCGATAGATATATTGCAATTAAGAAAAAAATTATTTATAATAGAAAATGGAATCATTTAAACAAATTATTTTTTATGGAAAATTTGAAATGTTTGAGCCAATTAGTTCTCATAAAAAGATTGAGAGGTTTAACATTTACATAAAGAAAGCATCATTAAGATGTTCAATTGCGCATTGGTAACATTGGATTATGTAATAATCAAATGTTCACTTAATAATTTTATAACAATAATTATTTTAACATACTTTTGATGCTCTGCATGATTTACCACAGCATAGATCATGATCACCAAAGCGAACACCATAAATTCACTTAAACTTTTCATTTTAAAAAAATTCATCTGTACACCACTTCTGTAATACTGGAGTACAATTTTGATTTTTAACGTTTGAGTTTACTTCGTATCGTCATATGCTTGACTTACTTCCGTATTTATCATGTAGTCGCGTTCGACTGATATTATACCAAAATATTTGCGCATATGCTTGAAATAAAATTATAGAATTTAGATAAGTTTTAATAATTTTTGGATTCTTTCTCTTTTATATCATTTAGGAAGAGCGAAAAGAATCGTTATGACAAAAAATATGTTGAAACTTCGGATTTTTTCGCAAAATCACAGTCAACTTTAGCCTTGTTAATAAAATTCTGATGTTTTGAAGAGAAATTTATCAAATTATAAATATTCAAGAGAATTATCATAATAAAATATTTTACATTGAAAATAAACTTTGCCTAACATAAATCAAATCGGAACGAAGCAGCCTCAAATAAATTTTTTTATCTAAATCAAACTATAGGGGCATGAAGGTGTAATAATTCTTATAAAATGTCATAAGCATTTTTTTTTAAACTTTATTTCGCCACAGGGTCAAGTATACTTTCGTTTTTTGGATTCGATATATCACATTGTTTACAACTATTTTGAGATAAAATAAAGCAAAGTGGTTGGGACAACAAATCATAATAATATTTTTAGATCTTAATAATTCAAAACATTATTATCTGAGGATACATAAATGTATTTTCATTGAAAATACGTTTAAATCATTTCATTCATAATATGAAATAGAATTTTTCATTCATTCGAACGTATTAGTGCCAAAATGTTGTGTGTAACAATAAAATTTTCATAAAATCTTCTAAAAAAGCAACGACCAATAGGTGATGACAGAAACACTAAATTTTCTCCGGATTTACTTTTGTACAGGATTTAAAGATCCCGTAATACAAATTCAAGATATGTTCACATTTAGCTCCTCTTTCATTATATATGAACAGAATGAACGAGATAATTTTCATTATGAAACGCTGCAATCTGGGTTAACTGGGGATTACGCTATATCAGTCATCTTCAGTTCGTCAGAGGTGGCCACTTAACTCAATTATAAACACAACCTTAAACCGGAGCATCAATAATATAAAATATCGATCAGAAATTTATATGAAATGTTTATTATGATTAATTTCAAAAAATTACAAGTATCGTGTTCCAAATATCAATTGTAATAAGCAAGAAGAGGATTATTTTAGTTTTTTTTTAAATACATACCTTTTTTTATTCGGCAATGAGGAAAAAACAATTAATAATCAAAAAAGCTTGGAAATTCCAAATATTACACTACTAAACTAAGATTTCTTATTAATAGCACGCTCAGACAGATGTATTCTATTGATAGGCAGATAAAAAAATCAGCTAACCACCATGTGCTGTTGCGTATTATTCGTAAATATTCAAATCTTTTTTAATATATTTTTTGTTTTATTTTAATTAAAAAACGTCTTTTACGATTTACCCTTATCAAAATTGTTAATAAATACTATTTGTATGTGATTCAACTTCTAGTTTGTGAATTATTGCACACACATAAACAACTGCCGGGAATTCAATCTAGTTTAAAATTATGTAAACGAAACTATCCTACATCATCTAGTTCAAAAACTACTTTTTTAGCCTGTCCTTTGGAAAGAAGCAAAAAACTAATCAAAATAATTCCGATCGAAAAATGCATGGTTACAATTAGGAATATGCCAGTATCAACCCTTGTAAATGTTTTCCATTTTATTTTTTATGAGATTAGAACAAACTCAGACGCAGAAGGTGCATTTAGACTTTTATTATATGTAAAAATATAGTTCAATTACTTTTCTCATAATCCGTACAATTGTATTTTTCTCTTTTAAAAAATATAAGCTCTTACATACAAATGATGATTATTCAAGTAGCTTATTATTTTGAAATAATGTGATCTATCGTATACGGTTAATTTTGGATGTGACTTTTGATACTTATCTGTTCATTACTCATTTATGATTATCTAAAACAAAATGTTATTTCTTACAATACATGACGTCGGGGAAAAAATGACGCATTTTATCATAACCGAGTTACTAGAAAAACGGTTAAAACCTGTATTATTTTGATGTCTCATTCTCATACTCAAAATCTACTTTGAAATTGTTTGAAAACAAATTGAACATTATTTTGGGACTATTATCATCGTATCTTTTTTTGTCTGTCCCATATAATCCGTCACGTTGACTAAAATTGCCTGGCACAAATAAATTTTTCATAAATTTGAGATTATATTTACTAAGGGTAGACGTACTTGAGATATTAAGTCTTATCATATCGATAGATCAAAATCTCACGTCTGCTGATAGAACTTCAAATTTATTTAAAAATAACATATTACTTAACAAAATGAATACAGTGCACTGTACTAAATCAATGAATTAATGATTATGTTTTTATTTAGAAGACTTTTGGAAATGTTTCGATGTACCATCTACGCAAGGCCCTTTTTTAAGAGCATAGGGAGTCAAAGTTTTAAAAGCCGCAAAAGTTTCTCTGCCAACCAAACGAATTTCTGATGTTTTAGGATGAAATTTATGTTCTGGTGGACCAGCTGGTAATTCTAAAACGTATGCTATATCGATTCCCATTTTTTCAGCCGCATAATCGGCACTTGCAGCTGATACTACATCTGAAATTGCAAATAAAAAATTGAATTGCGTGGCTTCCGTTTTCATTGTTTTTAAAATTTTTTTCAAGATATTGTCACTAAACCCTTTTCTTATTATACTTACGTAAAGTTTTACCAGACGGTCCAATTTTGTAGGTGGTGCCCCGAACTTTATGAAGTGCATCGTGAGCCTCGTGTGCAATACAGTCCTAAGAAAAATAAATCATGATATTTCAAGATCCCTGTTAAAATAAAGCAGAAATCAATTTTTTTTACCATTAATTTATAATTCCAGTGAGCCCCGAACATGTACAGCCACGGATACATAAAGTACTAGAAATATTAATAATTTTTAATCAACGATTTATCAAAATTTAAAGATTAACTTTTACATACGTTTCCGTAAGAGTGAAGGGTAACGTAAATTTTAATCCTATCCTTATTTTCCTTCATGAAGTCTCTCAATGCACGAGACTCCGGCTCGGAGAAAGCCTTCTTACCTTTGTAGGTCTGCGCGCATGGATCGTCAGAAGATCCTATCCCACCTGAAAATATACCATTTTTATAATAATCAAAGTTAAAGATTAGGAATTTAATGAATATATTTAATAGAAAATGAATGCACGCACTGGTCCAATGGGTATCAAAATTACGATTAAGGTCCACGCCTCTACATTTTTTAATCGCCGATGAACGATTTTTTCTCCACAGTCGATTCTGCAAAAATTTTCTTTTATCCAATTGCTGGCTATAATTTGAGTGTTATTAAAAAATAATTTTAAAAAATACCTCGGGTTTTTGTCGACTGTACTCATAGCCATCGGGATTTAAATTTGGTATAATAACAATATCAATTTCGTCGTAAATGTGTCGATTTTCTAATTTTGCTAATTGAGAAATTATGTACAGAGCAGTCATGTGGGATATCCATTCTCGAGCGTGAATCCCTGCATCGAGCAATATCATAGGCCGCCTGGCATTCTCGTCGGTGGTAAATTTTACTCCGAAAATGGTTCGACGTTCGAGACTCGTACCGATTTTCACGTACTTGGCCGCTGGATTAAGGTTTGGAATTGTTACTTTGCAATATTCTTTCATCTACACAAATTGAGTCAAACACTATCGTCATCATAAAATTATTATGGTTGAGAGTTGTAATTTTTAAAAATGCACCTCTTGATAACTACGATAATTTTCGAAAAATGCTGAAGGTAGACGCTGAATTCTTCTACTGACATCAATATCCCGCCTTTTTCTTTCGTGAATTTCATTACTTATATCCTCAGAATAGACGTCAAATGAAATGTTTCGTTTTATCAACTCCTTTTTAAACATTTTGACTACTTGTGCAGGTACCAAAACATCCATTGTTACATTACTTTGGCATGTAGAAAGCGATGGTGTTTTTATAAAATCAAAACTTGGGTCGTTCGCCAGATCATTCAAGTACTCATAACGAGACTCATCAACGTTGCAGTTGATAGCAAAACTCTGCATGCTTTAACAATTTTAATTTGATGAATGAATATGTTTTTCATTTGCTAATTTGTTAATTGATAATCTCCAACTGTTCTTACCCATAAATTGATTGTATTTTATCTTCATGGCTTTCACTTACTAAAAATTCATATAGCAAAAAAAGTGAAAATATTGAGTACTTCATCGTTGGCTAAATGATTGAACACAATTTTTGTGCAAATCAAAATTTGCAAGACATATAAATATAAAAAACTCATCGTGTGTCTATTCTTGGCATTCATAAAAATGAAAAATAATAATTTTTATAATTTGCTATATAATTTTTAATGGTTGTGACGCAAAATGTAAGATTTCCTTGTGAAAACAGAATACACGTGCCAAATATCACTATTTATTATTAAAAAGCTTCGTTTCTTCGAAAATAAAATTAATTTTATGAGAAAGAAAACTTTAAATGAACTTCAATTCAAAAATTTTTTCTGAATAATTTCCAATAATTTTTTTATTTGTGATAAGAAATTATCATAGGTTTATCAAACAATATAAATACATATACATTATAAATTGTTTATTTATAATTACTTAAAATTTAAATATAGATTTTACATTGTAAATAAAATAAAATTGTAAAAAAGTTAATCACCGCTTTCTTGAATTAACTATCAATTGATAGTGACTTGTTTATGTAGCATATGAAATTATTTGAAAAATATAAATATCGATCGACTATAATTGAACTGGATAACATTTTTAACATAAACAAGTCAATTCTAGAAAAAATGTACAAATTATAAAATTGACAGCGTTAATGCCAATTGACCACATGAACAATTAAATTGATTAATAAAATTCATAATATACTGATAGTGTTAATATAATAATTTAATGTTTTTAAATTTATTTTGATTGTAGAACTAATTTTAGTTAAATGACCAGAACTAATTAATTTAATTTGTACTATGGTATCAAAATATTCCTATTAATTCAATTAACTTCATGTTCGTTCAATTCTTTTTGAATATATTTAAATACTTTCCTCTTGTCATTTCTTTAGCTTCTTCCAAACCAAGTTGATAAGCAGAATCATGAAGTTTTTTAACTTCAATAATTAACTCATTTACAGATAAGCTACTTAATAAATACAAATTATTCATGTCTTCGCTATTGAGGTTACTTGTCCAAGATGGGAATTCATTTTGAGGAGAATTTTCAACAATGAACTTCGATATCCCTTGTTCTGGCCATAAATCAGGTGATGCTCGATCCAATTTTTCTAGACTCATGAGGCTTTCTTCAGAAATATGGGGTAAGGTTGTTTTTTCAGGAGTATTATCTTCAATTGAAGCTTTTTCCATAATGAATAATCTAAAAATTTAATCATTTCTCTTAGAGTAAAAACTATATGTTACTATTGATATGAAAATTAAGCATAATCAATTATTCTTACAATGTATTATTATATTACAATTAAATGACTATTAACATTGTTGTCTAAATGAAAGTTTACTCACTCAAGTTTTGAATATCCTTAACTTTTTCAATTTTTATCAGTCCTTCTCAACGTGAATTTCTTTTTTAATAGTGTACACTTAAGAAAGTTTAAAAATTTAAATCTTAATCTCGCATGTGTGGTTGAATATCAAAAAGTAACCGAATCGAATTCACTTGATTCTTTCAATGTTTATGTTTCAGAGTTAAAGCGTCTCAATCTCATGACACAACTGTAGCGTATTGTTTGTTATGGAAGAAAGATGACCGATGGTATGTGTTCGCTTATAATCGTATCTGATAATTATTACGGGTTTCTGCAATCTCAGTCAGTGAACACAATTATGAGGCGATGGCGTGGGACTATGTGGCGCCAAAATTTATTTCCAGATGAAAATGAAAATACATCAAGCAATTATTTGAATGGTTCACAAAATCACAGTAAATAAAATAAACTTTATTATTGACATATGATTTTTTTATGTAGATAAAGTTATTTGTTATTTATTCAAATGAATTATACATTAATTCTTATATAAAAAATGCAGTATATCAATTGGATACTAGCGACATCTAAAATTTTAATTGAAACTCCATTTCAGACTATGCGCAAGCGCCAAGCACTCATGCTAGCGGCAGACTCAGACCGCAGAGGGCAGACTGCAGACGTTACGGCGTGGCCACATTGTCACAGTGTTTACAGTTTTGTGCACGTGCGAGTTAAAACTTTGTTAGTTGTGAGTTAAAACATAATATAGAATTGATTTTTAAACAACTTAATCATGGGAAACAAACGTGGAAAGAAACGCGGTCGCCGGGATGACACCGCATCGCTTTTGGATGATAAAATGATCAAGTCTATGGAGAAAAAATTGAAACTTAAAAAAAAACTGAAGAGGAAAAAGGATGCTGATAAATATATTCCAAAATCATTTGCACGAGATGGTTTAGATTGTAAGATTGTGTTTATCAAATACTTGTTTACACTACAATAATTAAAAATTAACAATACTAATTTATGTAATAAATTTTTCTTAATAATAATATTTTTCAGATCTTTTGGAAATTTGTGATGAAGACAGTAGAAAATTGGCTGCTGAAAATGAGAAAAGACTAATGATAGGAGATTCAGATGATGAATCTGACAGTTCTAATTTTTCAGATGCAAGTGAACCAGAACCAAAAAAATTAAAAAAGAAAGATACTAAAAAAGCTGTGTCTAAGATAAATGCAGCAAGTGATAGCACAAAAAAGAAAAAAAAGAAAGATGAGTCTGAATCTGAAGATGATTTTCAAGATTTTGGTCTTGAAAGCGATGATGATTTTGGAAGTGATGATGATTTGGAAGGAAATGATTTCCAAAATGATGATGACGACCTTGAAAGTAAAGACAATTTTGGAAGTGGAAGTGAGTCAGAAAATGAGAAGAATGACAACGTTGACAATAATGACGATGGTGACAATGATGACGATGGTGACAATGTTGATGATGGTGATGATGATGGTATTTGGGAGGACATTTATGGTCGTAAAAGAAGTAAAGATGGTGCTGTCATTACTGCTGCTAAGCAGAAATATGTTGCTCCTGCCTTAAGATTAAAAGAATTGGATAAGGATCCTAAGAAAAATGAAAAATTACTTCAACTCAAGAGACAAATTAAAGGTCTTTTAAATAGGCTAGCTGAAAGTAATATGCATACAATAGTTAATCAGGTATTGTCATTTAAGTTTTAAAATATTAAAATAATTGTAACTTCTTTAATATAAAATTAAAAAATATTTTTAGTTAGAAGAGCTGTACATGTCGAATAGTAGAAATGACATGAATGAAATGTTGGTTCGACTTATGCTAGATTCTATTGTTAGTCCTGTGATGACAGCCGAGCGATTAGTGTCAGAGCATATGATGTGTGTTGCTATATTACATGCTAATATTGATACCCAAGTAGGCTCACATTTTATTATGGTTCTGGTAAAACAATTCAGTGAAATGATAAAAGAAAACCAAGATGTTGAGGATAAACAACTAGATAATTTGGTTTTAATGATATGCCATTTGTATAACTTCAAGGTATTTAGAATAAAAAATTAGCTTTTATAATTTTATTCTAATTATACTATTAATATATTATTGATTAAATTTCAGGTGTTTGGATCACAACTAATATATCAAATTATAGATAAATTAATAGAAAAGTTTACTGAAAAAGAAATTGAGATAATTTTAGTTGTATTAAAAAATTCTGGATTCAGAATGAGAAAAGATGATCCCCTTGCTCTTAAAAATTTGGTTATAGCTTTACAACAAAAAGCAGGAACAGTAAAATCAACAAAGTAAAAAATAATTTATCAACTTTAATCAATTTTATTTTTTTTTTGTTATGTATCAAAATTAACAATATTATTTTTTAGCTTGAGGCTGCAGTTCATGTTAGAAGTTTTGATGGCAATAAAAAATAATGATATGCGAAAAATCCCACAGTATGACCCAACTCGGGCAGAACACTTGAAAAAAATCATAAAAAGTTTTCTCAGGAAAGGAAATACCATATCACAGTTAAACTTTTCACTTGAAGACCTTTTGAATGGTAATAATAATTATACATAAATTGTATATGTACATTTTTATGACATCATACTTTATTCTATTGCAGCTGATGAAAAAGGAAAATGGTGGATTGTTGGTTCTGCATGGTCAGGAAAAGAAATAAAAAAAGATGCAGATAAAACTACTGTTAAAAAACCAGCGTATAGTCAAAAATTACTTAAATTGGCTGCTGCACAAAGAATGAATACAGATGTAAGAAAAAATATTTTCTGTATTTTGATGACTGCTGAAGATTATTTAGATGCATTTGAAAAGCTTAACCATTTGGGATTAAAAGATAGCCAAGAAAGAGAGATAATTAATGTGATATTGAGCTGTTGCATGCAAGAGAAAAATTTTAACCCATATTATGCAGTTCTATTAAAAAAATTCAATGATTTTCATAAAAAGTATCATGTGAGTATGAATGGATTTATATACATATATAATTTCAAGTATGATTTATAAGGTGAAATTTATTCTAATAATAATTTTCATTTTTAGACGATGATAGAAAATACATTTTGGTATAAGATTAAGACAATAGATACTTGCAACAGTCTACAAATCACTAACATAGGAAAAACCGTTTCTTACTTGTTTCTTAACAACGCCTTACCATTAACAGTTTTAAAGGTAAATTTTTTACTTATGAATTTATAACTTATTTGCAAATCATTATATTATATTCTAATAAAATCGTAGGTTATTAAATTTGGTGAAATGGACAAAGCAACAGTAAAGTTCTGCAAAAAATTGATGCTTGATATCCTCTTACACAACAATGTAGAAACCTGTCTTGCCCTCTTTGAAGCGATTCCTCGTAAATTATTGCAATTCAGAGAAGGCTTAAGGGTATTCATAAACTTTTTCTTGAAGAAAAACATGAAAAAAGACAAACTGTCGGCAGAGCAAATGGAGCTGTTGGAAAAACGAATTGGATTCGTCGACAGAATTTTGACAACTTCAAAAGTGACATTCTAAATATTGTTAATAAAGTTTTGTATTTTTGCAATACATGAAATGTTTATGATTAACGTATATGCACTATACGTTTGTAAATAGATACTAGCACTAACTTTTAATATTTGCAATTGTATATTACGTGCTTACAAAGCAAGTAATCGTACCAGTTAATAAAAAAAATTGTTATAGAAAATTAGAAATGATTTTTTCCAATAAATGTGTCTTAAAACTTCCCTCCGTGATTCAGGCAAATTCTTATCACGATCTGACGGTCACTATATCGTGACCCGTTTTATACGATGCAATGCGTACGAAACGTTACTGAAGAGCATCGTACCGGGTGCATTCGCAGATCGCGTGCTATATAGGATAATAACAAGCGCCGTGCACAGCCATCATGAACGACGACGACGACGACCCCCGCAGGAGCGCCGCGAAGTCGCGCGATTATCTCGCAGTGCACCGCCGCCGCCGCTGAGCTACCCAAAGGCGCCGCAGTTCATGTAGCGCTCGCCGTCGCATCATCGCACGGCCGGAGCAGCTATCTCGCACACAGGCATACTTACACTGACACGCATGTGTATTCCATACTTATAAACACAAACATCGCTGAAAAGGCACTGAAATCGGCAGTAACTTATAGTCAGTGCTATAATCGAGTTCAGTGAATCCTGTGTGTGCGCGCGCGTCGTCGCCCGTGTGTGTGTGCTGTTGTTGCTGCTGTTGCTGCTTTCGCGAGAGAACCGCCAATGAGTGCTGCTGATAGTCGTTATCCTGGCTCGTCGTGCTGCAGGACGTTGGCTAAATAACTGATTGTTCTCTCTGTGTATGTTTCGTGCCTTCGAAAACGCATTTACATAACGCACGCAACGTCGTGCATCGGTGCGTCGTCTCTCGTTCTCGCTGCGTGTTGTGGTGTGTGCGGCGACGAAACCGTGCGGGCCGTGTGTCGTCTATGTGTACGTGTGTTGTTTTTATATTGCACGATATATATGTACACACAAGAGTGCGCGAGCCGTGACTGATGTCGTTAGTCGTTGATCGTGGACGCGGGCGAATCGAGCCGCTTTAAAAAAAAAAGGAGTCATTGCGAGCGGCCGCTGTTCTGTGCATGCAGCGGAAAAAAGTCATAACGACAACGACGACAACATCAACAAAAAGGAAACGTCACAGTTGTTGGCGCTGCTCTGCTCACGCTCGCTTTCTGGAGCCGGTGTCGAAGATGTGTTGCCGCAAGAGTCGATAGAAAAAGAGTTGGACCATTCGGGCCCGGTGCTTGTGTCCCCGAATGCGATAATATATATGTGGACTCTGCCAATTCACCAGTTCCGCGCTGATACCAGCACAGCACCTCGAGAGGATTATTAAAGCCGTGAGAATAATTATCGAGTGTGTTTATCTTGTCACATCGGCGTAGCGCCTTCAAGGACGTGTATTTATCGTCACGTAAGTCTCTCGAGCTACATTGTATTATATTGTATACGATGATATGTATGTTTGTCCCTCTGATGATCCTCGAGGGGGTTAGGTTGCGCGAAAAGCGCGACAATCTTATAACATCACGCGACAAAGCTGATACATTAAAGATCGTACGATATACATACACGTAGAATAATGAATACAAACTGGCGTGTGACAAACGTATTCGCACATACGAACACTTATGTAGGTAGACTCGCGCGCATCAGGCGTGCGGCGTACGTGTTGAATTAGTTAGCATACATAAAACGAGCCGCGCTCCGAAATCTAAACGCGCATCGTACGCAACAGCCCACAACGCACGGTAAGAGGCTTCTGCTGCGGCTTATTTTCACCGTAGCTGCATTCGCTCCGCTATATTATGGCTCTCGAAGCGAGCCGCAGCTATAAGAAATCTATATATCTCTTGAGCTGCTCTCGCGTTACAGGTGTGCGTGCCGTACGTCTTGGATACACACATAGGTACGCACGCACCTATACATGTGTGTCTCTATAACATACACAAACAAAAGCGCTTTGAACGAAAATAAACTCGTGCTGCGGTGTGTTGTTGCCTAGCGCGAGCGCGACCCCTCTTTCTTTCTCCGTTTCTTTCGCTCGTATCTGTCTCTCTCTCTTTCTCTTTCTTCGAGCTCGCGCTAAAGTGCGAGTACATTCGCGCGCGCGCGCCTCCGCGTTGGATAACAACAACACGGCTACACGATACGTTGCGCGCGGAAATCGAGAAGTCTTATTGCCCGGAGCAGCGCACACGGCACGTTTGGCTTTTGCTTTCCCTAGCGGCATGCGGGAAAACTGCAGCTCGCGCGCACTTCTGACTCCGTCCCTCTCTCTCTCACTCTCTCCCTGCCTTATTTCGCGCGGCGCTGCTCGCGTCCATTCAACTTTTCCATATATATAACTATAAAAACACGCCACTGCGTTTATAATGTAAGACGCCAGTTTATTGCCATCGTATAGCAGCAGCAGCAGCAGAAACAGTATACATTGACGTCGACGACAGCACTGCACCAGGGATACTTTATTTTTTACAACCCGCAGAGGGATGATGATACACGCGGGGCGGTCGTGTACTTACCGCGGCGGTTGCAACGAGCCTTGACTGCACGGATGAATAATTTGCCGTTCTTTGCATTTTTGCCTTACCTTGCAGCTATCTCCTGCTCGCGCGCCGTATAATTAATGTGCTCGTATCACGCGTAGGTATTTATCAGCATGTCACATTGTCGTGTGCAGCAGTCGTAATGTGCATTTATTTTTCGAAATCTATATACTATTTACAGCGAAATTTTATCATTTTATATGCAACTAGACGGGCGAATGTGTGTATACGTTTTGCTTTTTGTGCCAAGTTTTGCCGCGCGATGTCGATAACACATATTTTATACATGTCAGTACGAAGGTGCTTGGCTCTTTATCGTATCTTCTTCCTTTTTTTCGGAGCAGCAACGACGGCAGTCGTTGACTTTTCAATTCGCGTACGAGTACAGGATTCGATATCATATTAGCAACTGCACCGGAGATAGAGGATAAACTAACGAGTCAAACGTATTTTAACGATGCGCCTCGTATACTCCTTTGATTGTTGGCTGATCTGTCGTGCCACTTCTTATTTGTGTGCCACCGCGCTCGGAGGCTATTTTTAAACTAGAGGAATTAACACACTGGAAAATGTGTCTCGCATCTATGCAGGCATAAATTCGATTTGTAAATTGCACCTGACCGTAGGATTCTGCATATACATTCGCGTATGAATAGTGTGTTATACAGTCGGTTTATATTCAAAGGTGACTCGGTCGATTTTTCGAGCCTTGAGAAGTAAAGTATATCAAAATCTTCCGATTTGAAATTCAAGGCCCATCATTCCCTCGCGTACTCATCGATATTCTCGCTCTGTCCGCCTCCTCTGCCACCTGCCACACAAATTCTCTTCTGCCTCTCTCTATCTGTTTCTTGGGACGTTTCGTTGAATGTTTTGCGCCGGTTGTTATTGATTTCTTATTTTTTTAGCCTTTTCAAATCGCAACTGATTTCATATCGAATCGTTTTTTTTTTCATTTCGGAGCATTTGCATTAGGATACTTATTACTTGATATCTGTATATCACATGACAAACAAAAGCCAGCAGCACAATACTTGCGATAGGATCGTGCTTCGAGCGTCAATTAAATGCAATCAATCGCGCGAATGTGTCAGTGTATAAATACGTATAGCAACGACACCGCCAGTGTGTACGACAAATATATTATTTACCGCACGTTGCCTCGTTCACGCGCGCATCAAAACAATCTCTGCGCAAGTACGACGACGACGACGATGAGATAAAAAAGCAAAGAAAAAAATGCATCGTGGAGTCTCTTGCTCCATGGATAATCGCTCGCTCGCGCGCGCCCGGAGTAGTATATCTATACGGCATATGTATAACATAAAATTCTTGGTGGCTTTTGCGCTCTTGGGCTTTGCACACAGCATTCGCGCGCTGTTCTTTCTTCTGTCTTCGTGTTTGGACGGTGCAGCAGCAGCAGCGGAGACGACGACGGTGAGGCGGCGGCGGGCGACAAGGACACCCATCATCGTACACACAACACAGAGCCCAACTAAACAACGTTGAGAAAGAGAGAGAGAGAGAGCGAGAGTCGGAGCAGCGCAGCGCGCCGTATAGTATACGAACGACGAAGAGCAGCGGCAGTGGCGGCGGCGCGGCTCAGCGTCAGGAGAGGCCGTGCCTCCACGACGACGACGGTTTCATTGCCCTCGACCCCACTTCTCGACGCGCACAACCTCCCCTACTATCACGAGAGCTCGGGCTGGTTCTGTCTCTCGCTCTCTGTGTTGGTGCATGCGTGTGTTGTTGTGTGCGCGTAAACGACAACCCCCGCCTGGCCGTCACTGCGAGAGCTCGCCGACACACACACATGCACACAGGAGACGTCCATGTGCTGCGTCTGTGTGCGCGCTGCCGAATGCGAATGTGTGTATGCGAATATGTTCGCTTGGTCTCGGAGCGAGTCGCGGCGGCAAGCCTCGAGTTGACTGCCCGACGCTGCTGCGCCTATACGCGCGCAAAATTTTACTGCGTGTGCTCTACCACTCTCTGCCCTGCTCTGTTGTCATTTTCTCTTTCTGTCAGTGTACGTGTGTTTACAAATAGACGTGCTGCCGCTGCTTTACATATAAACTCGGCAGAAGAATAAAAATTTTCGCCTGCTGCCACTGCTGCTGGCCTCGCGGGGACTAACACCACCGCTCAGGTACAAACCTTAGCTTTAAAAACAAAAAAATAAATCAAAAAATAAAGAAATATTCTAGGATCCTGGGAATGAACACACACTCGCACGCGCGCGTCCGTCATTCTCGTTGTTGTATGTTTTGTGCGTCGTATCCAACGAAGCCGCATCATGGAGCCGTGTTATTGTTATTGTTGTTGTTGTTGTTGTTGTTGTATTTATTGTTATTATTGCTGTTATTGTGTGCCGCGGTACTCTTTTCCTCTCGTTTTCGTCGTAGCTCGTATTTTATACCGTACCACCGTTACGTAGACGTTGCTCTCGCTCTCTTGCGTTCTTTGTCTTCGTGCGTATACATCGCGTACATTTCCACCGACTTTCCCGCGAATTTCTCGCGCGTATACGCGCGTTTGTTTACTATTTGTTCTGTTGTTTGCGCTCCCATTTTTTCATATCGCTCCTGCACTCTTTGTGCTTTTTCTGTTTACGTAAAATCGTCGTATACGTCTCTTTCTCTCATATTTTTTTATTCTCTCTCTCTCGGCGTTACTGCCTCTGCTGCTGCTGATGCCGACGATGATCGCTCCTATACATACGTTTATTGCAACTCTTTCTTGACATCTCCGAGTCGAAAATAAAATAAAACGTCGACTCAACGGTAAGGAATTTAAAAACACATCTCTGTCGTTGGCTGCGCTGCGCCGCTGCTGCGGGTTAAAAATTGAAAGAAATCTCCCGTCCGATTAAAAATGTCGCGATTACTTGTCAAAAGGAGTCGGTGTTGCGTCGACGATAATGGCCAAAAAGATTATTGTTCGTTTGATAATCGTGTAATCAGCATCGCGTCATCATCTTATGCGCAAATCGCGCCATGGATACATCCTGCATGTAAACAAAGTGCGTCTCTTGCTGTCTCGCTTCCCCCCTCTTTCTAGCGTACGTATAGGTATAGCGCATATATGTATACATCTATTGCTCTCTCGCTCTCCGGCGGTTCGGGGTAAACGTCCTCTACGACGCTACAATATATAGACAATGTGCATATACATAGTTAGATACGCGCGTATATACAGCATATTGCATGCAAGTCAGGCAGTCGCGCAGCTTCGAACACGTACACGCGCACACACACATACAGAGTCGGGCGCGCGCGCAGCAGACACGCACACTTGCGAACTCACTTTTCGCGTTTCGCAAGCTTCTGTATATTTACACGCACATACACGCATACACACACATATGCAACGCGAGCCGTGAGCGTGTATGGGTGCTGCACACACACACACACACACACACACACACACACACACACACACACACACACATGGAAACCAGCAGACAGACACACGCACTCCCGTCGTCGTAACGCTCATCCTCCCCCTTAGGTGTCGAATCACCGATTTTCCCGATGCGTCCGTGTGCGTTTGTGTGCATGCACTAGTATTACAGGCCATACAAGAGGGGTTACCAGCAGCTATATATCTCACTGCGCTTCATAATATACCGAGGCGTGTGGGGTCGATCGCCGCTCAGTATATACATGGGGTTTGTGCACGAAGTCAAAAATCTTGAAAGATTTTCGAAACCAGCTAGGTGCAGTCGGGGTATCGTCGTGCATGCATTGTACATAATACAGCATACACAAGAACGGAGCCGAGCAGCGGCGGCGGCAGCGGCAGCAGCAGCAGAAAACGACGCAAACAAACTTGACCCTGCTGGCCGGATGTGAGTTGCGCTGCCGCTGATGCTGGTCAAGAAAGAGAATGGCTATAGCCTACATCGAATACATGCTCGCATACACGTATATACCCATATCTGCGTGCATGTGTGAGTGCGCTTACATGTACACACAATCGCGAGCGTACTTGCATATCTGCAGTTGGCGTTTGCCTGTATACGCGCACACATGCATACGACTCGCCGCCACCGCCGCTGCGCTGCACAGACAGTAGGTATACGCACACAGGCACAGGGACACGAGCAAAATCGCGCGCCGTGCATCAATGTGCGAGTGAATGTTGTTGGCTGCGCGCGCAGCTACCAACAACGTAGCTATATACCGCGAGCGCACACCATAACATAGCGTTTGCTTGGCTACTGCTGTTGTTTTGATGAGGACTGGTGGTGCTATGCCCGAGAAGCGGCCAGGACTCCGCCGCTGCTCCGAGCTTTTCGCGCGCATCGCTCCTTCAAGCGCTCCTTATATACTATTCTGCCTGCAGATCGGATTCTCTTTCTCTCCGGGTTGCATGTGTATATATATGCGTGCAACGTCCTTGCTCCTTCTTAGTCTCGCGCGCGATGCGAACATTCGAAGAAATTTTATTCGTATATTCTCTTTCCCTAATAGACGAAATCGCTATCCGTAAAATTGCTTCTCTTTCGAGCATCGGGCCTATTCGTGTCGACCTGTCTTAATTTTTCGACTTACGTATACGAGTCTGAATTCGCGCTTTAATTTGTGTGCAGCACAAGAGGAGAAAGTGCAAAGGACGAAAGCGCGCATGGGAAGGTTGCGCTATATTCCTCTTTGTTTTGACTTTTGTTCCTCCTTTCTTGTAGCGTGGCGATAATCCCGAAGCCCGTATTCAATTATTTCGGCGTTTTGAAATTTCATCCTTCGCCAAGCAATTGTGTCTCTTTTTTCGTCGCTTTCCGTTCGGGTCAAATATTTGCGGCTCCCTGACCGGAAAGACAGACGGCTACATTGTATTTCGTGTTACCCTATACGCGCGAACAAACATCAAGTGGCTAATCGCATCTCGAGATTATATTTGTAATTTGCCTCGCGCTGTCAACTCCGACTTGTTTCTCGGTCGACGATATTTTACATCTCTTTCTCTCTCTCTCGCATCTTCGCTTTTCGCAGAGCGTATTTAATAATGAAAGCTGCGTACACCGGTTTATATAGCAGCGGCACAGTGAAAATGCGACGTGCATGCGACGTATACCAGCGGTGCACCAGCCGCATCGGTCGGTCTCCTCTATTTTTAGTCGAATCAATCGAAACAAAGAGAAATAAGCTATTCTGGCGCGAGAGATCGATATAATAGAAAAGTCGAAAGCGTCACACTGTATACATTGCACGCTATACATTACAGGCGGCAGTCAGCGCAGGATGATCGGCAGTGTGCACGCGATGCATGCACGTATCACATATAAATTATCCTCTCTCAGTATGTATAAACATCGCGCATACAGATAAGGAATCTCAAGTGCAATTTTTACACACGCACACATCGATTACACACGGGCGCTCATATATCATCGATTTGCTGCGTTGTTACACGCGATACAGAAAGAGTCGGACGACGACAAAAATAACACCAGCTACAAAAACGTAATTTTTTTTCAGTAGACGCGCGCTTGTGCGATACGTTTGTATGCTCAAATCGAAGATACATATAGGTATACAGGAAGAGAATTGGCGCGTTACCGCCTCTCTCGTATCGTGTGCAACATACATAGGTATAATATCTACGCTGCAGCGCGGCTGTTACACACGCCGCGCGATCGCTGGCTCGCTCGCTTGCATCGGGTGAGTGCGGAAAATAAGAGCCCGAGGAGCCGCATTCGCGCTACTCCGCGCGGCTCACGAACACATGCTTTCGAGGCACTGCTGCATTAATGTACAAATGCGCGCGCGATTTTCCGGCTGCTAGCGAGGCGTGTCATACGTGCACCAACTAATGCCTGTGTGAGTGCACCATAAGACTCTATCGCGTGCAACACAGAGCAACGCGGAGCGGCTGCGACGACGACGGCAACGGTCGCTCGCTCTCTCGCGTAGTAAGAGTGCAGTCGCAGAAAAGAGAAAGAGAGTGAGAGATAGAGGAGAAAGAGCCTCTCGTAATACCCACGCGGCCAGTTACATGCAGTATGGTCTCACTCTCTTTTTGCGTGCGAAAAGTGCCGACTCTCAAACACGTATTATGGGACGCTGCATGCGTAAATAAAAGTACGGAGCAGTGGACCCCCCTTCAGTTTTGTAAGCTAGGTCGATCTCTGCTGTTGCTGCTGCTCTCGCATACATATAGACACTCACGTATACACAATACGCATGTGGGTATATACCTTATGTGACTCGTGCATATTTATAGTATCACACGCACACGCTCGACTTTTTTTTCTGCATTCTTATGTGCACGCACTGCGAGAGGGGTATATACGCATGTCTAACGAAGTTAGTAGTCGTACCTCGTACGCGCGATTACACAATGAATTACGAAAGCTATGCAGTTTTCACACCTTCGTTTATTGATAACGTTTACGCTCGATATTAGAAATTTTTTGCGCGAGCTTCAAAAAGTTCATTCTGTGCGCTTGGAAAAGAATTTTTTTTTTTAATAACTTCGATCGAGATTATCCGCTTCTAAGCGACGCGTTATATGTGTAAAAGTTCAGTGACTACCGTATAAATTGTAGCATTTACTTTTCAACTTATAATTGTGTAACTGCTTTCTTTAGTTAGTTGGAGTATGAGTAATGCGCAAGTAGAACAGTTTATTTGTCTAAATTGATATTTTTCTTGAGGTGAATGAACCCAAAGCGGTATTGCTGAAAATATGTTTTAATCTTTGATATTTACCATTTATCTCATTACTATAAACAAAATTTTAATCTAATAACGAAATTCTCTGTTATTAATAAAAAACAAAATTTCATCTAAACATTTTTATTTATAATTGCAGGTGTGCTGTTCAAGATGAAGTGGTCACCTGGAGCTTTATTCTGCGAACAAGTAGGAGAGCTTACTAGAGTTTTCTCACAATGGAATGAATGCGAACAAACAGTTGTGTTATATGCTTTACTAAGAAGAATACCAGCAGTCCAAGCTCGATTTTTAGCACAAGCCATTCAACATTCACTGCATTCGGTCTCAGAATTGGATTCACAAGAACTGAACGCAAATAATCCCAGTAAGTTTTTTATTAATTTTCTTGACTTTATTTGATTGAATAAATTTATTAATTAAGCAATTGTTCTTGTAGCTTTCATCAATTCATTATTGGGAGAGTCAACAGAAGTAGCTATTAACCAGTTACTAACTCATCTTCCTTTACTTCGACCTGGCAATGTTGAATGCAAACAGTGTTACTTGTTAGTCATACCTGAACTCATCAGTCATTGTGTGACTACCGGGCAATATACAGAACAGACACAACAACTTCTAAGTTACACTCTCATTCATCCTGCTACAACTAGTCAAGATAGACGTACTCTAACTCAATGGCTCAAACAGCTTGAAGAACGAATAAGTACCTCCCAACCAAACTACAATGCTGAAGACTACAACAGCTCTGCTAACCCAAGGTAAATGATTCAGTCTGACAAAAAACATTTCTTACATTTTGAAGATATCAAACTCTATTTTATTTATAATTTCAGGTGGGATTCAACGTGGCAAAAGAATGTGAAACAAAATGATCAAATGAGCCAACTGTATGGTGCACAAACTGGGCCATTTCAGTTCAACTTTCAATTACCAACTTCGGCTCGTCAGCGACGTTCAAACAGTTTAACACCTCCTGTTGCTTCATCGCATCAACATGAGACGATTGATCGTACCAGCGGCACAAATATGTCGTCGAGACACAAGACACGTAGCTTTAGCGTATCTGGAGATCATTCCAGTGAGTTCAATCATATTTGTATATTCAAAAACAACCCTTTTTTATTTTATATTCCAATCATACTACATGAATTACAGCTCTTGTTGGATTAGGTCCTCTAAGTCCTCAAAGTTCGTGTGCCAGTAGCGGTAGCGAGAGCCGTTTAGATGAAGCTTCGACTAGGCCATTATCATCAGGAATGAGAGGTGCGTAAATTCATAATCTCTATTAAAACTGCATTTAATGTTATAATTTTTTAAATAATTTACAGATGTATTGGCATGGCTGAAGACGCTACGTTTACACAAGTACAGCTATTTATTTACGAACTTGTCTTACGAAGAAATGCTCGATTTGACAGAGGAACGCTTGGCTGATCAAGGTGTTACTAAAGGTGCAAGACACAAGCTAGCACTATCAATTGCCAAACTGCAACAGCGTTATCAAACGTTGCTGAATTTGGAAAAGGATCTAGTGCAACCGCAACGCGAAACAAGTCAAGCAGCTTCTTTCACCCAAAAACCATTGCTTGCCAGTGCGCTAGACGAGCTTAAAGGCATACTAGCAACACCTTTCAAACCAAGCCAAGAGAACGATCCTCAAGACATTCCGACTCAATTCACTAAAGTTCTCGGCAAACGTGAGTGAAAGAATAGTACTGAATTTATCATTTTATTCATTTTCTTTACTATTTCATAAAACTGAATTAATTTAATTATAGTGTGCAGCCGATTAGCTTTGGAGAATGTTGATGACGCAGTTTTATGTTCATGTATAGCCATTCTTGAAAAAGTATCGCAGCATGACTGCTTTACTGCAAGTCAGAAAGAAAAAGTTCAGCAGTGGAGAAGTCGCCTTGGAAATCCAAGACCAACACCAAAGTAATTTTTATGCACAACCATAATGTCTTTACTCTGACATCGTTACTTAGATCGATTTTAATTTTTGACTTTTTTTAGATGGCAACATGGACACGGTTACTTCAACCGAAGATATTCAAATTCACAGCAACACAGTCGAAAGCCAAGTTTGAATTTACCACATTTAGGAGGAGCAAAGTCTGTGAATAATTTCCTGGTGACGCCGCACAGAAATAGTATATCAACACCATATTTACAGTCAAGCTCTACTCAATCGTCTAATCAAAGTCTTCAACCAATGCAAGCTCCTGAAAAAAGACCTAGTCTCCAAGAGACTAGTTTAGAGGTCTGAATTGATAGTAATATTTTTATTTTGAGAACTTTTTTATTAATAAAACAATTTTTTTAGCAGTTGCAGAGATCTTTACATCGCACGTACAGCGCACCAAAAGGCAACTTCCTCGTACAAACGAGCAGCGCAATTGAGACGACAGAGCCGGAAATAAATTCTCGCTTAGAGTCTCTGTGCTTGCGCATGACTGAACAGGCCATCGGTGGATTTGGCGAGGCCTAAAGCTTTAAAAGCTTTTGCCTATCTTGCTTGCTTACACAGTCGACTTATACAACAATTTTACGCAGCAGGTTAGCGCTATTTTTATAATTTTTTGACGACGCCAGCGAAAAGTATGCATAAAGAAAGGAGAAGAACAAGAAGAAGAATTACTATTTAGGACGACATAGCGACAATGCGCAGCAAATAAATCTATTCTCGTGTAAAATTGTCAATCACCGGTGACAAATGTATTTAATAATAGATTTTGTGTAGTAGAAAATAATCCGTAATTTTTAATGAGGATATTTATAGTAAATCAACTCGAGAAAAATTAATAAACCGTTTGACATTTATAATAAAATGTACTACACTTGCAATGATATATACGAGTAAGGACTGAGTATCGATTAATGAGAAACGTTTCTCTTTTGATACTTTTTTATTCTCGAACTATAAACTTTTTATCGATTAATGCATGTTTGCATTTCGCTCGTACATACTTTTATTACATTTGTGCGCTCGAAGTAATTTGCATTCATGAAGTAAATTCACTTTTCTCATTAATCGGTATTAAACGGAATGCGAAATCAAGGCGTCATATATGTAATGAAATAATGAAATGATTATGAAAAAAAATATGCATAAACAAAGATTTATATGCTACGACATTCTAGACTTAATGATGTAAGCCACAAGCCGTAAAAGATAAAATATAGCATAAGTTATATTATTCAAAACGAAAAACCCAGAAACGTCCAAGAGGAATTTTCTCGTTCGTTTTATATTGAATGGCTATATTAAAAAAAAATGAAAAACAAAAAAAGAACAGTAAGTAAATACAACGAGAAAATTCGCTCTTGCTTATTTCGCTAAGATTTTAGTGCTTATTTCTACGATGAAATAATTTCATCAATCGTTAGGACTCCTGGGTAATTTTTGTCAAAACAATGCCGATTGTCTGTCTCTTCGTCGGCAATTAAGTCCACACAACAAAATATATTCGATATAACATACAAAAAATAATTTTTTGGATCTCATGTAAGAGCATAAAAGTACTAATCGCAAAAAATATAGACAATAATCCCTCGAGTCCTACGTGCTATATTTAATAAACGTGTTTAAAGCTATTCATATGAGAATTGACAGAATTTGGCAAGCCAAATGCTACTAGAAAGATAGATTCTTTCCTTTAGTATTTACTTAATCCGTAATAATATTCATAAAATATATTATATACACGAATATATTATATATATATACACCTATTATTAGACGATTTTTAAAGTTCAGTTTGAAATAGGAATGGAGAATTGTGTTCGTGAGAGTTTAAGATGTCCGTATAGATTGTCTCTTTTCTTAAATCTGAGTGTGGGATGTGTATGTGTGAATGAATGTTGGGTACCAGTGCGAGTGAACGAGGGCAAACCATGCGATTAAATACTTGCAATATTGTTTTTGTGTTATCCATTTCGGGAAATGGAATTATTCTGATTTTACGCTCTCCAGCACATGCTCTTTAAACGTAATTGTACGATTTTTCTTTTACTATTATTATCCTTTCTTTTAAAGAGATTTTTATGTACAATGTGACTGATGAATCGACAAAAAATCTTTTCAACTTTTTTTTAATGTTTAGAATTTCTTAATGCCCAGGCATGTAAATTAATTTAATTGTAACTATATTACGATAATATGTATATTCCTGCATTGCTCTATTGACCAAAATTCTTTAATATCGGAAGAAATCGACGAGGAAGTATGAAGGTCTTTTTTGTCATTCTACAAGGGTTGAGAGGAAGAAGGATAGTTTGTGACCTCGTTTGCGCGCTCAGCTCTTTTCGATCAATTTTGCACGCGCTCGTAATCCAATGACTATAATAAAATATCTTATAAGGGCTACACGAATCAATGTGACCCGAATACGAATGACGATGTAAATTGTGGTCATTGTGGATGGATATATACTTATTTATGACACGGTCGCGTGATCTCAACACGTCAACTGGAGTGGGGAACTTAGTGCAATGTATGTATGTTGGTACTATTTAGCGCGCGAAAAGACACCAATTAATATTTCGTATTATATTTGTATTAAGGACTCTTTATGTTTAATGAGGATCTCTGGAAAGGGCTTAGAAAATATTCCAAAGCGGGAACTGAAGAATTTTGAAAGTTACAAAAATGTGGATCATTTTTATTTCTCTTTTTAATCAATGTGTGCGATATTTTTTTGTGATTCTACCAAACGTAATAATTATTTTTTGATTTATGTATTTTTTTATACTAAAACTCACAATTCTGGTAATTGTCGAAAAAATTACAAAGAAAAACTGTCTATGCTTTTTATCGAACTCGCGATCTAGTTTCTAAGTTGATAGCTCGAATAACATTTTTTATTGAAAAATTGCTTTTACGGTTAATCGTTAGTGAAATCAAAATAAGGTGAACTATTAGAAAAACATTTAAAACTGCGTTGCACGCAGCTACTTATCAATCGTTTGTATAGACAATGAACGAAACGAGTACTCGGAATAGGATAATTAAGACCGAGATGAAAATAAAATGTAACGTATTTACCACTCTGGAAGTTGTGTCGATCGACTCAAGCTGAGCGCACGAGTGTAGGTCTGTGATTCATTACGTATTGGCGGCTGCTTTAAAGTTTATGTGTATTGTACATGATAAATAGAAAAGGTTGCAATGTACACGTTTATATCCTCGTGATTGTGTAGCCGTCACTGGAGCTTTGTCGAGTAAACTATATATGTATATATATTAATGTATATTCATTTATTATTTATATATATCCATATATATACATATATATTTATAAATGTTGTGTACGTCAAGAATTAAATAATCATGATCAATGTAACATGAACGTAGGGTGTTTAACAGTCGCAACTTTAATGCATTCGTGTACCTATGCACAGATTTCGCTCTATTGAGTCTAAGCAAACAACACATTTCCAAAATTTAATGCGATCTGACAGAGTTACTTGTTCGAGCTAATTTATACACTTTTTGACACTACCCATTATGAAGCTGATGTTAAGCACATCGAAATCTGTGTCTTAGATCCACGCAAAAGCATATTCAACATCTCTGATACTTTTTTATAATGCGATTTTCATACAGCGCTTGGATTATGAAATAAAATAAAAATAAAATGTGAAAATATTGGGCAAAATGAAAGAAAAATTTTAAAGATAACTGGCGCCTTTAAACTTTGTTAAAAACCCCTACATTAGTTATAAGACTAAAATAAAATCTAATCTAAAATATCATATTACTATTATATGAAACGATGACAAGACTGACAATTTCACGCATTCTAACGAAAATTCAGAAACACACAATCATATAAGCTTTTCATAACGCAATTACAGCGACATATCTTGTTCGCTTGAAAAAAGCAAGCTGAAAAACTTGGTATGTTTATTGCGTATGTTCACGCGTGAATGTAACAATTGGAAGACTGCACTTGGAAAAAAATGTAGATCAGAACTGCTAACCTTTCAATATACGAAAAAAAAGGTTTTCCATCGCTCTAGTAAGAAGAGTCGTAAGGGGCGTGTGGCAAGACGCGCACTAATAAATGAAGTAAAATGAAAAATATGTATATCGATTTTTAGCGCAAGTACTTTATATAGTTTTTATGCGTAAACTGAATTGTAATACAGAAAATATAATGCTAATTATTGATTGACACAAATGTTTTCTATTAAAAATGAAACTGATAATATACAGACACGCAGTAAACCACAGTTGTATTTATATACATGAAATTATATTACATGATATGTACGTGCGTGGTAGATGCTTGAATATTAATTTTACCTAGAGAACTTTTGATGACGTTCCCGTCATCGATTCATTAATTTAATTGTGTTACAACTTATTATACACACAGTCACAATATAGCAATATTATTGTATTTTACACCCAAATTCAATGTCGATGATGATGGTACAGAACGATTTTTTCCTTTAAAATGATTCTGATTGTTGTTGGATCTCGATAAATGATGAAGTTTTTATTTTACCCATAGATGGATTACTGTAATTCATATAATTACTTATTCGTATTTCATAAAACGTGTCAGAGTACCATTGGCTCTCTAAGCTTTCTTTTTCTCTTACAGATTAATTTGTAAAAATTTTACGGGAAAAGTAGTTTCCTAAGTAATCTTGTGATTCAGAGATGAGGCGATATTTTTATTAAATGTTGTGCTTTTTTACTGCATTTTTTATATTTGAACTCAAGCAAATGACTATCAGTCTTCGATACGCGTGTTGTTTCTTAGTCACTCTTTCTAGCGACATTAGCTCAAATGTTCGATTTTCTAGCGATACATTGTTGGAATTAATAATAGAAAATATTTACAAAACATATTTTTAACAAATGGACACCTGGAATAATTACTTCAATCGTCGATTTTTCTAAATAAATAATTCACACCATCATTTCCAGGTGAAAAATTATTTTGTATACATGATAAAGTTTAGAAAAAAAATAACATTGTTGAGAATCAATACGAAGACAATTTAAGAAAAAACACGCATTGAGTCTCAGTATCGGAAACTTAAAAAAAATAAAAACTAAATTTCCTGAAAGAGGATTGAAAACTAGTCAATTGCTACATTTAATACAAATATCAAGTTCATATTTAACAAGCATGTATTTTAAGTAGCTGATTACGATAATAGCGTAAGCGTGTGTTGCATTGAGCACAATATTGTATTACTCATAATAATACAAAAAATAATGCTCATTAACATCATTATTAATTTTGTCATAAGTCAACATAATCATAATTCTGAAAGTTCGTAAAATATTGCAAAATTTTATATCAGCTCATAAAAGTATTGGACTTATTTTTTATTGTGAATGCTTAGTTACTGTGGATTTCTTAGAATCCAATACTTTCTAATTTATTTTAAAAGATTTTATTAACCATTTTAACTATAAACAACATTAAAATGTCATTTTAGGAGAATATAAGGACTTGTAATAAATGAGAGATTAGCATTTTTCGATATTTCTTTTTTAAATGAGATCATCTAATAATGAAATTTTAACTAAATACAAAATTCAGTCGGCTAAATTCAATTAATGGAAAAGGCCTAAACTGTTCAAAATATCAATACTTTTCGCAGTTCATAAGTCGTTCATAAAACAAAACTTTGCAATGAATCGTTATTTGCTCTTAAAGTGAGCTTTTACAAAAACAACACAAAAGAGATAAAAATAAAAAAAATTAGTGAAACACTGCTTCTAAATTCTCCTGCGTGTTTACAAAAATTTGATCATTCAGTATGATTGATCATGTTAATTTTTTTCTCTCTAATTTTTTCATTTTTTTCAATGAAATTATTGAGCATTTATTGTATGTATGCAATTGTTACTGAATAAATTAAAATGTTTTTTGTTGTTAAGTCAAAGAAATGTACCAAATCATCGCGCTTTCATAATAATCCATTACTGTTCACATCACAAATAAATAGATACAACACAAGTTTCTTAAACTTTTTTTTCATGACTTGTAAAAGAGAAAACGAAGAGTTTTTATAGATTTTTGATCGTTTTCCGTCTTTTTCATGTACTTATTATGCCGGTGTATACGTTTACAATTTGTGACTGATGCATATAATATGTATTGAACGAATCACGACAACGCATACGGATGAAAATATAAAAAAAAAGTATATACAATGCACGATTACAATAATTACAGTGTCTGATATTCTTAATCGGATACCTTGTCAGCGAGTAAAAGACAACTGAAAACATTTGCATATTTGCATTCTCATAGATTCAAGTAGTTGCATTCGTAGTTTTTTCAAACGGACAAAGATAAGAAAAAAAAGAATATTTAACGCAATGGTATACTATATATTTCTATACAATAAATTAATGAGAAGAGAAAATAATTTTTGATGACAGCTCAGCTGCAGTATTTATTGTTATTAATAATAATGAAGGGGATGTGTTTCGTCTGTTAAATGAGGTACGTGATCTATCAAACTGGCTCACAATTTTTTGGATACATTACGAATTTTGTATACATATATACGATGAAAACAAAAAATAAATACACATTTTCCGCGCCACCAAAATGTCCTATACTACGAATATTGCATATATATTTTCACGTTGATGGCATAGAAAAATGAACTGCGAGCTTGCGACTTTTCTATAAGAACAATTGCTCTTCAACAAAAAAAAAAACAATGTATAGAAAGATTAATAGTATCGCTGCATTGTATCTGTGAATGTTAATGTAAAAATTAATACAAACTGCGGGTGTCAAACTACAATCTAGTTTTCGCTTAGATAAATATACGTTTCGGGCGTATGGCAATTTTAGTCTCTTCTATGATCGATTTTTTAAACAAGTAGAGGGCCGAATCATGTGAAGAAATGATATTTGTTTACAAAATGACTTGGTCGATGGAATGTTAAAAGGATGGTTAAAAGTCATCGAAAAATTCGAAAGTCAATGTATCAGAAACGAAAACATGTTTTTTTTTTCTCAAAAAACTACAGGTTGAAAATAAATCTTGTTACTGATTAAATTATAATTTAGTCACGTAAGATTGTATAAAAGCCAATTTTGTAAAACTGCTATTTCGACGTCATCTAATTAGAAGTCGATGGTACTCAGCAAAGTTGTAGCATGAACAACCATTTTATAATAAAAACATTTTTCATATGGACATTTGAAATAGTTCTTGTGTTTTCTTTTTTTTACCTTTATCGATTTTAAGCCCAAGTTCTAGAACTAAAGCAATTTTTGCTTAATTAAATTTCTTTTGTAATAAAACCACAAATTAAGATTCATTGCTGAGCTTCTGCCGTTGCAAAGCTATGGCATTTAACATCATCGATCGATTACAAATATTTAAATCGGATAATTCCTTAAACGCAATGATTGAAGCTTATTTTTTTGAATATTCATAATAAAAGTAAAAAAAATCAAAAAAACATCAAAAGAATCTTGAAAAAATTTGTTAAAAAACATTAAAATCTCATACGAAAGAAAACTTTTTATTGTTCTGTAGAAGTATGAATAGAGAACTAAAAAACTTGTATTTACAGAAACAATTAGCTTACTATACAAATAATAAATGGCTTAACTTTAGCGGCTTGTTTCAACCACTTTCAAGTTTCAAGACGATAACACCACTTTAAATCTCCACCACTAGATGGCGAGTACTTTTGTATATAAATCCACAAGTGGTATATTAATAATAATTATATAAGGTGTGCTTAACACTTTGCTTATGTTTATAGACGTTCCCATCATAATGGTTCCCACCAAATTTTAAAGTCTACGAATGGATAATAGCACAATGATACATAAGGCGCAGCCAATATTTATAGGTATGAATTTATCAAAAAAAGAAGAACCGGGGTTGTGTTTGAATTTGGACACTCAATGTATTTATCAATCTATTGCTTACATCAGTTTGTATCATTATTAGAACTGATAAAATTTGAGAACTTATAAAATACTTAAAAAATTACTCTACAAACTAACAAACATTATTATTTCTACATTTAACAGTAAGGAAAGCGAAAATTCATTTTTAAATGATTAAACGATAACATATGTCAATAATGGATGAAATATTTTTGAGAGTTAAAAATAATTATTTTACTATGATTTACATTTACAGCTCTATTAACTTAGATTGTATACTTTTATGTACATAAAAATGCTCAACTGGTTAAAATGGCATTCTTAGCACTTACAGATATACTATCCTTCTTATAACTAATACAATTAACGTCTTCCTGATGCTAAAGAGGTTCTCGATACAGGTCTACTGTTACTCCTTGAGTCTCTGTCAAGTCTGCAAAAACAGCGTTTCGGTTAAAAGAAGTACATTTTTGTATTTTTGACAGCAACAAAGAAATGAATGTTAATAATACCCATTGCTCTTTGAGCCCGATCGTCTAAACATGTTCGACAATGCTTTCTTGAGATTTTTCTTGTCTTTTCTCGTTGTTGCTTCAGAGATGCTGGCTTCCGAGCCTGATGTCTGTAAGAAAATGATTACGACTGAATGTCACATCGTGTTTCGAGCTGCTTGATTTTTCGATATTGCGATGTAATTCTTTCAATACAGGAATAGGCGTTTGAGTTTAATTTAATGAAGTCAACACGAACCCAGATAGTTTGAATTTTTTTTAGATTATGTTAATGCTACAACAATTTTATTTTGTTCGATTATGGCATGGTTATTTCATAAATTGAACTTTTAATTAAAGAAAAAGTTTCACATATACCTCTCAGCATCACAAACATTTTTTTAATATAACGTTACTGAAGATAGCAGGTGCAATTACTAATATATTTGAATCTATTTTACGATCATGGAATATAACATTGTAATATTAACCCGTTCATTGTTTTTTTTTTTTTTTTTTTTGAAAAATAACTCAATTAATTAGAAAAATTAAGTTTATTATTTTAGAATAAATCTCCGTAATTTTAACAAATCGTTCCTTATGATTGTGAACTATTTAAATCTAATTAAAATACATTTATGATTTAATTTATAAATATAATTATTATTTATATAATTATAAGATATAATTATAATTATAATAATTATAATTGGAAATATTGTTGACAAAGCATGTTGATAGTCATGCGTTTATCAGTTGTACAATAATAAGCTTAGAAAAATATTAATAAAATGTTAATTTGAAAAACGAATCCAATTGAATCAAAGAATTATAACTCCAAGCATTAGATGCATTAAAAGTTTTCACTTAGCCTTGCAAGCCATTTTATTTTTCCAAAAATCGCATCAGTCGTATAGACTAGAAGCACAAAAATATTAAATGTTTCAGCTATTATTTTTATTATTTTCGAATCGATAAAATCGATAAAAAATTGATATTACCTGAAGAGACGAATCATATGACGTATTTGGATCGTCGACACTAGCCGATTTTGTCAACTTTGTCGTTATTTTACGAATGATATTTTTGCTGTGTTTTTTCTCGTGACGAAGAATCTCACTTTGCGTAGATTCCGTTGACAAATGGCTTTAAAACATTTTTTTTTCCAACATTATTTTTATGTTTTTACGCAATAAAATGATATGGTTGAACTAAATCAAATACCTCTCAATGCTTGAATCTCGTTGTAAACTAAAATGCCGGGAATCAATGTCTGAGCCAGTGAGCGATTGCATACTTGATATATTACTATTGCCACCCCATATAGACTATGAAAATACAATAGAACATTTTCGAATTAAAATTTTTATGTGAAAAATATCAGTAATGTAATGATTCATCGAACCTGGTCATTTCTTCCAATAGTTTGCTCCAGTGACAAACTCTTCCTCTTTAGCCTCGGCCTTGCTCGAGCAGGAACACCATTTTTGTCATTGTCGTTATCGATTGAAGATGATCTGTAAAGAAATATTCATCTCAACTAACTCATTAGATTTTGTTAGCTTTAAAGTTGATACGAATGCTCACCGTTTGCTCATCTTTTTGGTTTTACTAGCGTTTTCGTCTACGGCTTTCTTCGATTCTTGCAAGTCTTTAGCAACTTCCATTAGTTTCTTTATCGTATATTCTAATTTTTCTGTTTTACCCGATGGCATGATCAACGAAGCTAAAATAAATGGAATTATTTTGAATTATAAAGCGAATTATAAAACTGAGAAGTTAAATGACATCGATCCAGTTCTCACTTTTGCTGCCGTTTCTGGAATCTGACAACGGTGAAGATTCTCTAGACCTAGGTCCCTGCAAAGCCAAAAGTAATGAAAGTTAATGACGCAGAACAATAATATACAAATCGTGTATTTCCGTCAGGCGCCCGTATATACCTTGGTACGTCTCGGTGGTGTAGGGGTGTACTGTTCCGGCTGCATCTGTCCATCGCTCGCGTGTCCATTGGTGCCGTTGCTCGTCTCCGACGGGAATAGACGCATCAAGTCGTCGACTTGTTGCAGCAGTATATTGAGATTTCGCGCCTCGGTCTGCTCGATTCGGCGCTTGCTGGCCAGCTGTGCCCGCAGCTCCTCGCGCTCGCGCTCGTGACGCTCCTTCTCGCGACGCATCTTCTCGTTGCTCGTGCGTAGCTTGGCGTGCGCGTCCCGCAGCTCGAGCAAATCGCATTGAAGCTGTCGTAAAAAAAAAACACACAGAGAGAAAGAACCAATTTTAAAATCAAGTCGACAAATAGCTTGTTAAAATCGTGCGACGCAGATACCTCGACGAGCTTCTTTTTGTTTTCGTCCTTTTCCTCGTCGAATATTTTCTTCAATTGCTCCAATTTCCTCTTATTTTCCAATCGCTCTTTATCTTTTTCTCGTTCGACCTGAAATTATACAATATTACGAATATTACGTTCTTTTCAATTAACTGTACCAACTGATCAATGAGAATCAGAACCACGGGTATTAAACGTAATTCTGGCATCGTAAAATAAAAACATGTGTATTTATTGCACAAAACTTTACCGGAACAAAGTCAACGGACCAAAAACGGAGTGTCGCGACGTTTTACGACAGAGTTAGCCCAGATAAAAAGAATCGATCCGAAAAATCCCGTTTTACATGCGATGAACTTATTATGTATCAAGATTTTACGTGCATGTGCAATTATGCAATAACGATCAATGAGGCCGAGAGTCAAAATATATATAATTTTGTACAAAACCTCGAACAGCGTTTGACGAAGATCACGGGCTAGAGTGGCCGTCTCTTGCAGTAGTCTCTGCTGATCTTCGCGTTCCTTCTGCCACGCCAATTCCATGCGCACTTTTAAGCCAGGTATTTTTGTTCGACCACTAGCCAGTAGACGTTCCTCTTCAAGCTACAAGGAATTTTTTTGTGATGGTTACAATTGATTTTCGTGCTATTATAATATAAATGAATTTGTAAACATTTAACAATGACAAAACAAAGAATGCGGAAGATTTTTTTTTGCATCAACTTTATCGATACCTTTATTATTTCCCCATTTTATAACGTTAAAGCAACCTAGTTATTATTCATCATATTAAACGTCAAAATTAGCCGGATTGTTCAAGGACAAGAGATATCTGATTATAATTGCAAAATTAAGAACTAATTCTTTGTGTATTTATCAAACAACATTCGATGTTAATAGAACCTACAAACAACCAATTTTGATAAGGGTTGCTCAGCCAAAATATAGACAGCGGTAGCTTATAATGTCAACCAAACAACCACCCATAAACAATCCCCATAAACAACCGTTGTTTAGTGGCCCCTTAAGCAACCCCCTAAACAACTTCGCTATAAAACCGTCGTCGAAGTCATCTTCTTCACGCACTTGTTAACATAATATTCTATTTCATACCTAGCGACCCGAAAATTGCTCTTTTTGTTTTACATGGCGGCATGGAGCTAGTCACTTTCGGGGCGTTGTTATGAAAAATAATTTCTGTGACCTCAATTTATCTGCATTTAAATATGTTGGAATAAATAAAATAAATAAAGTTTGCGCATTGAAAAAAAATTAATAAAAGCTCATAAGAGTTATTTCAGAAACATCCAGCCAAAAGAGCAGAACTATATAAAGTTTTGTTTTTGAATATTAAATTGGTTTTATACTGTACCTCATTAATGCGTGACTGCATCTCAGACAGTTTGATTTCCCAAGCCGACTTTTCCGAAATTATTTCAGTTCTCAACTTGTTGGATTCAAGCTTGGCCTCGGACAACTCATCCTCTAAAGAAACTATTTGTTTCTCCAGTACCGAGCGATGAGCAGTCGACACCTCTTCCTCCTGATGTCATACAAATTTATTATGGTTAACATTGATGCAACAATATTCAATTTGACATAAAGCTACTCACTTCATCGGACTTTCCAGTCGACGTAGTCGACGGCCTTCTCGATCTCGACGATCTCTTCAGTTCACCGATGGTCTTCTGCGCTCCCTCCAGCATCTGTTTGTAGGTGTCACGCTCGCGCTTGTATCGCGACAGCTGAGCTTGGATCGGCTTGATCTCGTCACTGATCGCCGAGACCCTTTGTTCGTAACGCAGTTTGCACTGGGCCAGCTCAGATTTGCGGGTTTTTTCGGCGTTCGTCAGGGCAAGCTTGACTTTGCGCAACTCGAATTCGAGAGCTGACGTATCGGCACTGAAATTCCTCTGAATCTTCGCCACGTGTGTGTAATCTTGCAATTTGCTGCTCAAATCGTCGTTCTGCAATGATCGACGAAAAAGCTTCATGATTGTCAATGCGCTTACTAATAGCACAGAATTGTGTTAACCCATTAACGACCAAAATGCTTGATTTTTTTGTTGGTTTTCGCAGCGATTTTTTTTGTAGTTTTAGACCTTAGAAAAATTTCGCAGGGACCTATTTCGATGTAAAATTTAATGTCCTTTCAGAAACTGAGCGCAAAATTTTGATTTTTTGCGTAATAAAAAAGTTATAGCTACTTAAACAAAAAAAAACGTAAAAATTTTTGCAAAAAATCAAGTTTTCGATTTTTTTTCGCCATGTTACCGGTAAGGAATCACGATATAAATATGATCAGGGGTGATCACGACTATCAAAGTATCTCAGAGAATTTTTATGGAATTTTCGAACCATTACTTCAAACAAAAAATAACTCATATTCATATAAAACATGACTCATTTTTACTCGAAAACTATTGAATTTAGAGAAAAAGTGCACAAAACGAAGATTTGAAAAGTGGTTCAAAAATTCCATAAAAATTCTCTGAGATTCTTTGATAGTCGTGATCACCCCTGATCATATTTATATCGTGATTCCTTACCGGTAACATGGCGAAAAAAAATCGAAAACTTGATTTTTTGCAAAAATTTTTACGTTTTTTTTTGTTTAAGTAGCTATAACTTTTTTATAACGCAAAAAATCAAAATTTTGCGCTCAGTTTCTGAAAGGGCATTAAATTTTACATCGAAGTAGGTCCCTGCGATATTTTTTTAAGGTCTAAAACTACAAAAAAAATCGCTGCGAAAACCAACAAAAAAATCAAGCATTTTGGTCGTTAATGGGTTAAAAAATTTGCAGCAGTCAAATTTACAGATCATTTCGATTATACGACTAATTTGGCAACGCTAAATTGAAGCAATGGTATTTTCTTGACGAAGTAAAAAAAGTGCTCGCGACGAAAGGAAAAGTAGCTGACCGACTTTTTTTTCATCAGAATGCATTCTTCGCGACAAGTATATATATGAGTTACGTGAGACTTACGGCTTTCTTTAAATCCTCGACCTGTTGCGTCAACGAACTGCTTTCCATCTTTAACCGAAGATTTTCGTCTCGCAAATCATTTTGTGTCAGACTCTTGTCTTTCTTTTCGTACCCGTGTAATTGTTCCTGCGATCAAGATAATTGTGAAAGCCACAGGAAAAAAAGGGAAAAATACTCGTCTCCACTATGGAAACATCGTAGAATTTCGTGCATTGTGTATGAGAATTTCACACTGTATGGATTTCATACATAATGAGCTATAGTAAGGGTATGCATGTTTTTTCAAGCATATGACGATGGCAAAAACTACTCTAAATATCTAGAAGTTATGATATACTTATCAAATTTGTTTTAGAGTTATTTATTATGCCCATTCAAGTTTTAACAAGATGTACACGTTAATGATAATTTTTTTTAACTTATTCCGCACTGAGCAGCCTACAATAAAATTGATATATATTATTTATTTCCGTAAGCAGCAAGTCAATTTTATGCATCTATCCACAAAGCTAAATCTAATAGTAGAATCTAAATTTTTCTTACAATAGCAATCAAACAGTGTGAAACTCCAAACAAATACAAATTTTTAGATTTGATTACATTTACCTCTAGCCGTTTTTTTTGTGCTGACCACTCGACCTCTTTGGTTTTATAGTATTGGCGCATTTCTTGCATTTCGGCTTGTAAAGTTAGATAATCTTGCTTGTGATCAATCAATTGCCTACAATATTTTCAAGAATCAGTTGTATATAGATTTTTCTTTAATTATAAATAACGTGGGAAAATTTTTTAAATTATTGATACCCGTTCAAAAGCCGATTTTCCTCTTCCAGCTGAGCTTTAGTCTCGTTGAGTTGATCGTATTTTTTCTTCAAATCATCAAGTTTCGAATTCGATCGTTTCAGCTCATTTTCTAAATCTAAACGATTAATTATTAATATTTTTCATAACAATTGTTTCAATCGAGTTTTTTTATCTGCCAGAGCATGACACAATTATCGAAAGCTTCGCGGAAAAAATTACTTACTCGCTATTTTGTCATCGTACGATTGCTTCAAGTCTTCTAATTTCTTCGAATTCAAGCCAGCTTTCTCTAACAACAAATTCTTTTTCTTCAAAGAAGCTATTTCAGCGTCTTTGCTGATCTTCTCTTTATCCATTTGTTTTTTCAACTTATCCTTGTCTTTTTTCACAACGTCCAATTCATTTTGAATTTCGCTAATTTTGTCGAATGATGAATTTTTCGAATTCTCCAATTCCAGTTTCGTTTGTTTCAAATCATTCTCAAGTTGAATTTTGGCTGTCTCCGTCTGTCATTGATATTAGCATCGATAAGAGAAGAAGAAAAAAAAGGAACGTACAAAAATGTCACCGCGAGAATCCAGCAAAAAACTCACCGTGGTCAACGACCGGGCAAGTTTTGTCTCCTTTTCACCCAGCGACGTTAGATCGCTTTGAAGTTTTTTGCTGCGTTCCTTCTCTTGCGCCAATTCTTTTTTGATATCTGACAGTGCGCCTTCGATCTTAGCTGACTCTTTCTTCGATGAACTCGCTGCCTCTATTTTTGAAAAAAAATAAAAAAAAAGCGATAAACAAAACTTCGATATCATTTTCAACGAGGTAGTTCGTAGGAATTCGAACGCGGATGCAATCGATGTATGCGCGAACCATACATTATTATACATCTGAATTATCTCTCTATATCTAAACTAAAAAACTGGAAATTATGAACATAGCGATTCCGTAAATTTTATTTTCTCATTTATCCGCCCGAGCGCCTCTTTGCACATTAAACAAGCTTATAAATATTTTGCAAAATTACACGGTTCGAAGTAAATGTGCGCATAATGTACATTACGGGCACGATATTACAGTCTCGCGTCTAGACGCAAGCTCGCGACGCGACACGATGCGTATACGAACGCACACACATACATTGCCGCAAAGAGCATCAAGTCTTGCGCGCGTCGCATGTGTACGCGACGCTCGAGTGCGCGGTGCAAGTATATATGGCAATAAAAAAAGAGAGAGAAAGAGATGGTAGGAAGGGAATGGCGAATACGAGAGATCGTATAAAAATTAGAGGCACGCGTAAGCGGCTCATAAAAAATTTACCAAGATCCTTTTTCAACTGGACAACTTCGTTGTAGACCTTGAGTTTATCGGCCGAAAGCGAGAGCAATTTCGACTTGAGCTTCTCTTTTTCCTCCTGGAGCTTGGCCTTCTCCGCGTCCCAGGACTTGCGATCCTGCTCGCGGCTCGATTGGCTTTCCTCTAATTTTTTTTTAACTGAAAAATTTCATTATATAATAAATCGTGAATACGTGTGCGTATGTGCGTACTGAAGCGCACTTTAAGTTATTCTGATTATATGTTTGCTCAACGAAAGAAACAGCAATGTGATAAAACTTCCTGATGAAGTAAAATAGATAATGGCCGTGCGTAAACGCGCTTCTTGAACAACTACCCACCGATTGAAAAGTTGCCCCTTCGCTTAGCGTACATTAAGTCGTAGTTTAAAGTCATACAAACAAGTTAAATGCATAAAATTTGAAACGTTTCCACGCGCGACGCGAGAATATAATATAAACATCCCCGACTTCAACTCGCAAAGTAGTAGCTACAAAACAAAGAGTCACGAAACTTACGGCTTATTAAATCTTCACTCTTGGTTTTATCGGCAGCAGTAGTCGATTTCAATTTGTTCGTCTCTTTTTCCTGGTTCAGCTCGCTCAGCGTCTTGTCGTACTTTTCTTTGAGCGTCTCGTGCTCCTTGGCCAATTTGTCATACTTATAATTCGATATCGGCAGGCCGAATTCCCGACCGTCGAGCATGTTTACCATCACGTTTATTACATCGCCTATAATAGACGACATTAAAAGGATATCATAGGAATGTAGCCATTCATGGCTGCGTGGATCAATGTCAATAGGCATATTCGATTGTTTTGATTTCACATACCGATGTCTTTTTCCATGCCGTCGACTAGCTTTTTCAGCTGTTGCTTTTGTGCGAATTCCGTGGGCCTTTTTTGTGTGCGGTTTTTGTACTCCGTACCAACTTTTTTCAAAATGTCCTCGATTTTTTTCATCTGCGGGTTTACAAATCAAAAAAAAAATGCATCCATCACGTCCGGACGTAAATCTCGCGGGTATAATTGTGAAAGTTTAATCGAAGCATATCGTACCTGCTCATATTTTTGCTCGACATCGGCCTTATCTGCCTCGAGCTGTTCCGCTTTGCGCTCGACTTTTCTCAGTTTGAAAGACAATATCCGACAGTTTTTGTTGGCCTGCTCTAAATTTTTTCTAATCGTTGTGTACTCGTCGGCCTGTTCCTCTCTAAAATTGTCCTGCATTTCGTAAATCTCCTCCTCGAGCTCGCGAATCTCCTTCTTCATGTCCTCGTTCTCGTCCATGAGAGTCTCGCAGAGGGTCTCGGCGGCCTTCAGTTTTCCTCGCAACTCCTCATTCATCCTTTCGCGTTCGCTTTTGTGCGTTTTCAAGTTCAGCTCGCGCTCTAAGCTCTTGATCTTGGAAGTCAAACTCGAGCGTTCCTCTGTCATAGCTATCGATTGAAACGACAATTCGAAAGATCAAAATCGTTTTTCATAGCATGTTAAGATTATTTATCGTAGTCGCATTAACGAAATTGTTTTCCATTGAGATTAAAAATGAAGCGATTAAAAAGCAATAATGATCCTGTTAAATTTACTCAACGAACAAGTAGATTGTTGAGTCATAAGTGACATATTATATATATTTATTTTTTTTTCTACTTGCAGGTTTATAGAAAACGTTTCTCGCCATCTAGTGGTGGAAACTTAAAGTATTACCTTATTTAAAGTGGTTGAATATTCGACATGAATTTTTAAAAAAAAATTAGTTGTCAGTTTCAAGATTTTTAAAATGCGTTTAACAATTTTAACATGAGAGTAATAAAAAAATTGCTAGAAATAATCGAATTAATCGCAAAGTTAATTTGAAACATTGAAAATGATTATTGTTCGATTATGGTCCATTATTAATTATGATCATTTCTATTTAAAGAGGTAAATGCTTAATTTCATAATCTTGAGCCCTTTTTCACCGTGAATTATTCTTCAAATTTTCTTCGATTTTCACAAAAAATTTGAAACGCCGTTTAATAAATTACGATTTAATTAAATACCGAAGTTCTCGCTACTCGTTATATTTTCTGTCTATTTTTCCGCTGGGTCACATAACTCAGCGGCGTTTGAAATGTCTAGTGGTGGAGCCCATAACTGTCCTACCGCCGTGCAGAGAAAAATAAATGTCTTGCGATATACGATAACTTCACGCACGCGCATATGGCTGGTCAGCGGTAACAACAGCAGCAGCTGGAGAGAATAGTTCATGGTTCATGAGATAGTTACCATCATTTTTCGCTTGCAGATCTTTTACGGTTTTCTGCAATTTCAAAACGTCGGCGCCCGGCTTCAAAGAGGCCGAGTCTATTGACGTAAGCCGACGCAGCAGAATCTCGGCTTTCTCCTTTTCCAATCTTTCGCACTTAGCCCTCAAGTCGCTCAGTTGCGTCCTCAGCTTCTCCATTTCTTTCTATGAAATATGAAAATTCAACATGACATCCTCCGCGTTCGAGCTTGCAGTTATATAATACCAATCGTGAGAGGATGTTAAAATCACGAGAAAGAAAGAAAAAAAAAGAAAAAAAAGAAAAGAGATTTTGATAACTTTTGTAGCTTCCTCTAAGAGGAAGCGAGTTTATGTCATTACTAGCCCATAATGTATGTCTTTGGTGTCTTAATGTTTGTACAAAAAAATATGACCAATCACGTTTCAATATCAAAGCTTTGAGAAATAAATTTTTATTCCGTACTGCAAAAGTTTCTCGCAAGCATAGAAAAATCTTTCGTGAATCGGGTAAACGTGATTGGAAATTCTGCAGAGCAATTTTAACAACCTCATTGGTGAAATTTTTGTTTGTATATAATATGTGTGTGAGTGCATGTGATTAAGTACAGACAGAAAGTCAAAATTACTTTTTCGGTCATCATTCCCCCCATCGTCTCGGTAGAGTCGCATTTTGCTCCGTTTCGATCGATGATTCGCGATTTCCTTACCTTCGGAATCGATCAATGTGAAATGGAGAAAAAACAAAATGAAAAATATTAATTATGTTAATTCACAGAACAAGAGAAAAAGATATTTTTTAAGAAGTATCATTATAATAATACATAACATAATGTTTAAAAGTATAATGGTGCGTTTGCGTTTGTGACTTATTAGGGAATATAAAAATAATTAACAAAAACCCTGGTAGAAATACTCAACAGTTTATGGCTAGTTTTTGGCATTTCAAAATTGTATGGCCATGTAATACTCGAATGCCAAAAAAAGAAACAGCTGGTCATTGAAATAGTGCTTTGACTTACATATATTTTCATTTTTACTTTACCACTTTCAGATAGGAAAATAAAGATATTCGCCATCTAGTGGTAGAAAATTATATTATATACGATACATTATTTAAAGTGGCTCAAAACTGGTCTTAAGCTTATGGAACAGATACATTGTTATATTCGAGTTATTTAAAATACGCTCAATATTTTTCACGTGATTGTAACAGAAAATTTTTCCAAAAACAAGCAAATTAATAGTATTGTATTTTGAAACATTTTATATGGTCACTTTCTGTCGATAGGACTAACGTTGAGCATTTTAACTGGGAACTCAATTTAAAAGTGTGTCTGTATCTTGACCCTGTTAAATTGTTGACATGTTGTTGTATTCGACTAGTCGATCGACAATATACTCGTACATATTTCAAACCTTATGAAAATTTTTTATAAATTTTTTGTAACCAAATGCTAGAGTGACATTAATAAGTACAACGTGATGGATACGATGATGGAAAAAAAAATAGTACGCATAACCGTAAAAGGGTTTGTAATGAGCAAAAAACGGGTATGAAAGTCTCGCTTAATATAAACTTTTTCTTTCTCACTGTACAATGTGCAGTGTACATATACACTGATTGCGAACATTGTAAAATTTTCTCTAGGAAGCTTAAGCGCGCGTATCACACGGGGCACAAGGATGATATATACCGTGCGCGTAAATGTCGATGATGTTGGGCATTACGTACACAAGCGCGTGTAGGTATATACTCGGCAGTACTTCAGCAGTTCTTTGAAGTTACCGCATATCATACACATGGCACGCGTGCACTCGTACGAACGCGCCTCTATATATGTGTGTGTGCGCGCGTTACGCGAAATTTTTATTTCAAAATCTTGATTGCATAATAATGACCGAAACGATAGGTTTTTGCGTCTTTGACCTCTATGGGTACCGGTGGATACATACGTATTTGCGGATAGTACTGCACATTATGTAACGTCAATTTGTTTTTTTCTTCTTCTTACGTGTGCAATCAAGCATGCAGCAGCTCTATGAAGGTTCATTAGATAAGAAAAGTTTGTGACATATAGTTACATCGCAATCAAGAGAGTACAAGGTAAATTAGACATTATAAACCCTTCGCTCGGCCGGATCTGCTTGAGTATTTTAAACGGGAGATCATCGCTCTAACATGAAAATGTATAATATAAAACAAATTAAGCCGCAAGCACCACATTATACTTTCACATGAACAAATATATTTATACATAAAAAGTATGTAGGAAGTATATTACAGCCAGGCAGAATTGGCTTTGTTGGTAATCTTACCTGAATCACGAATTCAGCGTCATTGGTGGAAGAGGTCCCGTTGGACTTATCAATGACCTTTTTGATTTGCAACTTGTGCTGAGGTGGCTCGTCCAAGGATTTGTGCCTATTCATGGGTGCTCGCTCGCCAATACTGCTGAGTGGGTCGTTCTCGCTGGCGAGCCTCTCGTCCACGGAAAACCTCCGATACGAGTAGGTGTCGGACGTCGAGCCGCTGTAAGTTTTGGGCCTCGGCGGCGGCTTCACGGTCACGGTGACGTCGCTGCTGCTGGTTTTGCTGGTCGCGCGCGGCGCCGGCGAGGCCTCCTTGCTCGACGCGGAGCGCAGCTCGCTCAGGTTCATGCTCGTCAGGTCCTTGGCCGAGACCCAGTCGGCGCTCGAGCTGTCGCTGCGCGGAAAGCCGCCCGACGACGGCTCGTCCTTCGCGAGGTTCGACGTCGAGGCCCAGCTTCGTCGGGTGCGGCTGGTGCCGTTGCTGTCCGTGCCGTTGCTGTCTGTGCCGTTGCTCGTGCTGCAACGTTTTGCAAAGTTAAAAACACATGAGCCAGAGCTTGTTGATGAATATTTTTGAGAGAAAATTTTTCAAGAAGTATTTTAAAAAAAATGAAGAAAATATCTTATTCGTGCTTTCGTGATAATATTAGAAAACACATACCACACATATATTAAGAGAATACTACATAAAATTTCATGAGATATACAATGAATTTACAAATTTTCAAAATCGTGCTTTTACTTATATAATTATTTATACTTTGACACTTGCAGATTTACAGATAAAGGTACTCGCCATCTAGCGGTGAAGGCTGACTTTAATTATAATTGAATTATCAGACATTTTTTGTACAATTAATGCAAAAACTGAATCAGTACTAGTACATTCATTTTCTTGATTTTACTTGAATCTGTATTAAATTTGGGGTTTTTTCAAACAGTATATGTTTTAATGTTCGCAAAATATTACAAATTTCTTATCATTTGACATTTTAATTCGAGTTATCGATGGAATTTGAATATAAGTAAGTAGCTCATGAATGTTAACGTTAAACACAAAGGGAAGGATATATAATTGAAAAAAGTAAAAAAAATAACAAATTGCAGTAACTTAGTGCTAGAAATGTTGTTTTATTTTCGTATTTAATTACCGATTTGTTGCTGATTCCCATACTGAAAGACTTGGGGTCGATGATGTCGTATCTACTGTACTTTTTTTACCACCGTGATCCTTATGGTCCTTGTAATCCCTAAAAAAGTCATTTTTATACAAAAATGGAAAAAGAGTATATTTTTTATGTACCGTAATATACTGTCTCTCCAAAAAATAAGCTGGAGCCTGAACAAGGGATAGTTTGATGCTATAAATGAGGTACTGCTTTGATTATACCAGTAAATTATTTAATTTGATATGTATTTGAGACACGTAATAAGAATAAAACGTAATTTTTTCATTAAATTTTCTATAAATAACACATAAGATAAGTTTAAAAATGGTCGTGAAATCGACAACATTTTAACGAAAACATTTTTCATTCATTTTCCAACGGTCGTATGTTTTTCCACTTAAAAAATAGCAATAGCCCTGAATTATCATTGAGCTTTTATGACGTACCTACTCACAAAAAGTTAAAAAAATATTTAAATAAACTTAGCAACGAAAAAATCTTGAGTAAAGAAAAAAAAATAGCACAACAACCTTGAAATATCGTTGAGCTTTCATAATGACTTTCACTTTTACATCCACTGGTCGGAAAGAGCGACACATAAGCGACCTTGAACTTGCGACGCTTTTTCGCTCCACACCAGATTAAAATGGTCAGGCTTCTTATGCGCTCATACAATTTCTCCATTTATAAAAGCAGAACTTGATGAGCGAAAATAGATTTAGCGAAGTGTAGGTGGCTTTTTACGTTCTTGGTCTCTCTTTTGCGTCCTCTCGCATCGCAACGTGAACTAGTTTTCGCGATTCGTTTGAAATTTTAATGAACGCACACCGTTACGCACGAGTGTCATGGTTTTTCGGACACACATATAGTATGCATAAAATGACAACATTTATGCTGAGCTTTCAACGCGATGAAACTTGATTTTTATACGCATAATACAATTTACTTCATCGCTTGATTCGAAGACTTTACGATGCCGAGATTTGATTTTTAAACATTTTTAAAATCAGTTTCCTTCAATTTGATCGAACTCAGCCATAAAACGTATCACTAATATGACGTTTCTTTGTTTATTTACCAACAATTGGCACGTTAACACGCGTTGTTGCGACAATAAATTCATTGCGGAAGCACAAATCCGTTATACGTCACTTGCATATATTCTAAGGAAGCCGAGTCTAATTTTCCCCGGCAGGAAGTCAATATTTTCGAAGCTAAAATAATCCGCACTCTAAATTCGATGATTCACGCTCAAAGTGCAATTATCAATTTTGGACAAAAAATGTCTTTCATGGGCGAGAAAGAACGAATTTTATTCATAATAGCTCGGAATCGATTTCAGATCATAAATCAAGTCGAACGTCTCGAAAGTATATGTGTATCATTTTTCATTCGCGCATCGAGCAGTCTACGCGCACACAATGTCTTTTGTGTATATCGCCGTGCATCAACAAGTTTCGCGCGCCGATCGCGAGATCGAAAATTCAATTATATGCTACATAACTATATGTATGAGTGTATCTCGTCTATTCAACAGTGTCATTTTATCGTGAGTCAGTCTTCCCAGCCGATATTACGATATACTCGACTTTGACAGCTCGACGCGATTACAATGCTGACATAATGATTGGCACGAGAAGTGTAAATATTATTAAATCATGTATTGAAAAGTGAGAACTGCTTAAAGCCCACAGACTGAGTTTCGCATAACTTAAGAAAGGTACAGGCACAATACCGTCGGGCTTTTTTTGCATCGGGATGTGTATGACGCGATAGCAGTTAAAATTAGAGTTGCTCGACGTGAATTAAAAATATTTTGTTACAAACGCTATAAACGATCGTCGGACGGCGCACGTGTGGAAAATCTACTTTAATTTTGTCCTAATCCCTGACCCAAATATCGACGCCGCATCGCAAAAACAATATAAAGCTCTCGATGAAAAAGCTACGATCCGAAATACCTGAAACATCTTTTGCATCTGACCGGCCATCTCGTTTGCGGATGAAATCCCAACGGGCACAATGGATCTCCCGTGGACGTCGGATAAAAATGATGCATCTTGCCGCTCCTTTCCTCACTCTCTCGTAATGGCTATACACACACTCCAAAACTCGAAGTTCCAAAGGGGGGTATCAGTAGCAGCGATCGCAGGTGTCACTATGGATCATCGTGCGCTGCGTTGCGCGCACCACCACCGCCACCACCCGCACAGTCACACACGCACCACTTTTCTTTTCCGTCAAAACGCGCTTGTCACTCGAGTCATTACGCTCGACTCCACGCACTGCAGTGGACACTTTTATGGCGAAACAAAAAAATAATTCGATTCGGACATCGGTCGGCAGCTTTTAGCGCATGCCTTACGTAATTTTGATTCGTCGCTGAGCGGTCGGCCGAGGCGCAAGTGCTTGCTGATGCGGCTGATGCTGCGACGCCACGATCGGTCGCTAACCCAAATGTAAATCGACACAAAAGTATATGCACACACGCACGGCTCAAAGAGCGAGAGAGAGAGAGAGAGAGAGGAGAGAGAAGCGAAAGAGAGCGAGAGCCAGTGTATAAAATACGTCGCACTTGGCTAGCCCTCGATTAAATTTATCCAAGCTTCGTTCTCCTTTTTGTTTTCTGCGAGCTATTGTACACCTGCTTCGCTACGATCAAATTTCTTCTATAACTTTCAAATTGTTTTACGAAAATTCTCAAGAATCAATGCGACGAGGTGAGCTTGCGACTGAAAAAAATCAACCCGCAGCAGCCTCTTATCAACGTTGATCTATCGGATTCCAATCACTGTCCCGAGCTATAATCACTCGTGCTTGCGCCCGGTTATTATACACAACGCACTATATACACCATAACACGGCGATCTCTCGGGCGTTTGCAGGCACAGGCCGGATTCCGATTGAATCGCGGCGGCGGCTCGCGGTTACCGTGACACGGGCTCACTCACTCGTTTTTCGGCGTTCCTGCCTCGGCCAGAGGAGAGTCTTTCTGCGTGCGCTCTATTGCCTGCGTGCGCCCGAACTTATTGGCACTGGGCCAGACACATCGGACTCGCGTATTTGCGTCTGCGCTGCTATGAATAACGATTTTCTCTTTCTTTCTTTCTTTCTTTCTTTGCTTTTTTCACTGTCATTTGGAAAGATGCTTATATGTGTCACGAGTACGTTTACGCACGATATTGTAAAAAAACTTGTCGAAATGTTTATCTATCATCATTGACCCGAACACGAGTACATCCATCTGAGCTCTTTCCTTTTTTTGACGAATCGTCGACGAGCGTCTGTTTATCCGAGCTTGCGATGTAGCGCAACTGCAAGATCGCACGTATGTAATGTACACGAGCACGAGCTATACATAAAGGTTAACGACGTACACGCGCATACGTACGTGTACTCAGTATTTTTGGAACGGCCACAACGAAGCGCGTGAAAATTTATGAATCTGTTAATTTTTCACACGAGCTCGAGCACTTGTATATGTGAGACGCGAGCAGTTCGCAGTTGTAATTCTCTCGAGAATCATTATTCATAACGAAAAATGATATCAAACCGTGTATACGTTCGCAAGGTTTGATAATCCACGCGCTTAACAGTACATTAAAAAATCAAATTGATATTAAAAAGGCGCACGTGTGAAATACCCGAAATACGTGCAATTATATGCACCGCGGGCAGAAATAATAATTTATATCGAAGCTGCAGGCCGCAGAGGTATAAAGGCGAGCGCGCGCGAGAGAGGAGCTCGGGCGCAATAATCGAAATAACAGAACATGCACTAAATCTTACGTACTGAGTACTGTTATAAATACCGACCACACTGCGTTAAATTTAAAGAACTCGGCGAATCGCGCGCGCGACTCGGAAACTCGGTTAGTTTTTTTTGCATGGCATCGGATTCGGGATGCTTTTTTTGCCCTGGCGAGCGTTAAAATTCCCTCCTTATAGGTTTTCAAGTTTTCGTGTCACGAGTGAAAAAATTCACCCATATTAGTTCGAGTTCCAGAATCTTAATGGACGGCATAAAGATTGATTCATGAACTTGTCTCTCTCTCTCTCTCTCTCTCTCTGTCTCTCACCATCGCGAGCTCTGCTGCAGACTTTACTTTCGAATCTCATCTCAGCCGATTCCAAACAAAACATAGACATCGGCGCTGAGTCGTGTGGCAAACTAAACACGCGTACTCTTTATATATTCGGCGCGTCTACTTATGCCGTAAGCCCGAAGCTGTGTGTGTCGTCAGGCGCGTCATTACATAAATCGTCGGGGCAGACGTTATACGTGCCGCGCGAATATAAGCAAAAAATTCGAACGATAAATCGTTCGAAAATCATCGGGCGCGCGTACGGTTGCAGTCGCTCGGTAAGTACGGCGCACGAGCTCTAGCTAGCTCTCGCGATGTTCAAATATATTCAAACCGTGTCAAGCTCAAGAATCCCCGGCCGAAAATCAAGAGCTTCAACGCGCGTCGATGCGGAGCGCAACGTACACTACGCGCGGTGGATGCGCCGCGCCGCAGTCGAGTCTGTCTCACTTTTCTTCGCAACTAATATAACGAAAATTAGGTCGTCGGAAATAAAGATCTTTTTCGCTTTGCTCATCGAGTCTGCATTATTATTATTATATGCACTCGGCAAAGTCGCGCGTTATAATATTTATCATGTGTATAATGTATATGAAGTCAGTATTATGCAGTGCATTATTACATACGGGTGAGATTATCTTGGGTGCTCGTTATTATTATGCGTATATGAATGATACGAGCGTGCGAATTCGTGGACCATAATTCAAACGATTTGTTTTCGCATGCCTCGGAAGCGATGTCAATGCTCATATCGAGGGTCTCGAAGTGAACGTGCTGTAGAAAATTCACGCGCGCGCGAGATGATACTCGCGATGCACGTACGTGTATGTATGTGTTTTGTCTGTGTGCACGTCGTATGTATACATATAATTCGATGACCTAAAAAACTTGGGCGAAGATCTCGGGGCTCGAGAGAGAGACTGCTGGTATACGTATCGTTTGAGCTCGATTATGTTCAAGGTGAGACTCCCAGAAAGGTGTTTGCTGATGTACGCTCTCGAGCAGATCTTTCGCTCGGCAGACTGTTTAATGCAGATTGCCCTGTTGATTATTACGGAATGTTACGTTCGAGATGTTGCGTCTAAAATCAAATGATTACACTCTAAATTGTAAGATGAACTTTTTAGTAAGGATATAAGTTCTTTCAGATTTTTCGGATGGATTTTCTAGATAGAGTTTCTGAATTGATTGCACATTTTCGGTGTTTTTTTTCGACTAGATTTCTCGTTTTTTGTTTTGTTTTATGTTTTGTTCATGTATGTCAATTGAATCAATTTATATTATATAACGAGTAACAGATAACGCTCACTAACGCTCGCTCGATTTGTTGAAGTTTGGCAAGAAATTTGAATGAAAATTTTTTACAAATTTTATAAAAAATCAGAAGTACAAAAATAAATAAGTGATTCACCCGATATTTGAAACCGCAAGAATATTTCGAAAAAAGTTTGGACATTGGATAAGCAAAATTTCTAATTTATTGCATGCTATTAACAAACTGAATTTATCAGAATTTTTCTTAGCATATAAGGTAAGAGAAATAGTCCGCACTTGATACTTGAATTGTTAGATAGGAGATAGCAAATTGATGAGAAATTTGAAAGATAAAGTTTAACTTACTACGTAGAATATCCATTTTTTCAGATTTGTTGAAAGGCAATAACTGAATTAATTATTGCTGTAAATGTGAGCCATTTTGGCAGCTCCCAAACTCTTATCATAGCACAGTGACCATTCTTCTCCCGGCATTACACAGAAGCAAATTCCCACGAATTTTCGCTATTATCCCTCTCCATTTCAAACTTCAAGACCGACCGCCAGATGGCGCACCCTTAGAAAGTAGCTCCTGCAAGTGGCAAACCACTTATCAGGGTACTAGTAAGAGTGAATTTTGATACTTTGATATTGTAGCATGTCTGATTAACTGCGTATCGCCTGAAATGACCATTTTTGGACAAAATTTATAGCGATGAATTACACAGACTAAAAATTGTTTAAAAAACTTTTCAGACATCATTTCTCGCGTAAAATTTAATTTAATGTACTTTTCGAATCTGGGGTCAGAATTTTCAAAAATTTATTTAATAAAAAGTTCTAAACAATTTTGTAAAAAAAGCATGAAATTTCGAGAAAAAAATCTCGTTTAACTCAAATTTCGACTCGGAAAGAAGGTTCGCTCGCGCATCTCACGCATATATAGATTTGGTCAATGGCATGTATAATTTATTGTAAAATAGTTATAATTATGAGATTCAATATGGCGATCATAAATATGACTCCCGAAGACCTGTATGTCGTACAATGATTTCGACAATTTTTAACTCTATAACCATCAACTTTACGAGGAAAAGTTGTAGAATAAAAAGTGTTTCGAATTGATCAAAGAACACGCCTGATTTCTTCAAAATTTTTGGAACGATTTTTGGATTTTTGAAAAAATGGGGTAAGCCAGAAATTCAAAAATCGTTCCAAAAATTTTACCCACGGGCTTCCATTAAGAAAATTTTTGGTGAAACTTATAATTCGCATACAAATGAAAGCGTATCTTCGTAAAGTAGAGTGTAAGAAAATTTTTTCGATCCCAAAACCCCGGAGTATGTAATGAATCTAGCATCATCGTAGGTGAATAAATTTTAATGTTGAAATATTCTACAAAGACTATAAAAAGTTATTTATTCATTTTTTCCACAAAAAAACTCTTGAATCGTTATAAAAATGCATCATGATCGAAACACGTTACTGCTTTCAAAACTTCAATCATGTTCAATCAAAAAATCACATCATAAGGCAGGATAAACTCTGCAACTCGTTCGTTGCAAGAAAAGAGACTGAAATGCCACAGGTACGCTAGTCTGGGACGATAATAACTTATTTTCCATGAACACAATATAAAGTCGTACCATTAAAAGCAACCGAATAATAATTTGCCTTTTTTCAGCTCAAATCTGAGCACGTGCAACAATGGGATGGCGATGATTTTAATAACGCTAATAATTTTTACAGCTAGCAAAAATGTGTATTCATATAGATGTGAAGTTGAGAAAAATGTTCACCTCCGCGCAGATTAATCGTCGACGCTCGTCGAAAACAATTGCAAATCAATAATACACAGGAATGCATAATAGTTGTACAGAATTGCATGTTATACGTATAGGTATGCGTATACAAACGCGCATACATATTATACGTGCACTTTGGGATCGCAGGAGCGCGCGTCACCCGCGCCAGCGCATGTTTAACACTTTCACGCTGACGCTCCGCGATGTACAGCGCGGCGCGTCCTTGCACCTATATAAATACACTCGCAGACAGACACAAGAGGCGTACACACAATATGTATATAAGATACAGATACACGAAGCGCAAATATTTTGACGCGGGGGAGCTTCTGCGACTGCGAACTCGGCGGCACATACAGATTCGCGCGCTTGGGCAATCGGATGCTTATTACGCGATTATGATTTCGAGGATGCAATCGCTGAGCGCAGTGCGGTATGTGTGCATGTATATATGTATATGCGAGCTGAACCAGTAAAAGTCAGATATTGAGATTACTCGCGGAGGCTCTCTTTTCCTTTTATCCTTTCTATATGCGGCGTTACGTGCGATGCGACTTTTTACGATGCTTACACGCCGAGCTATTCTATAGCTCACTCGCAGGCGCGGTTATTATATTACTTCTCATATACTAGTTTCACATACTGTTGATTGCTATTTATGGTTATAAACTTACGAAGTATTATTTTATCAGGTTTAAAAATTTTAAGTTCAATTCGCGTAGTCTGACAATCAAACAATTTAGGTAATAATTTAATTATTCGATAAAAAACATGAAATTCATTACACATTGTCACATTTGTAAATAAACAAAAGCAATTGATTAAAACTCACGAAATAACAATTTAAAATTTTAGGAATTAGTAGTTAACATTCCAATGATGCTCTGTAAACTTTTAAAATATAGATAGAGGTTCAGATCATATACGTGATTAAATTTAGGGTTTTATGTTTATTTCTGCAGTAGCAAGCTTCTTACAGGACTCGGATTACTCACAAGGGTGAACGATGGTCCTAAAAATTCATTTATCATAATTCATCTATCCTTCATTTTCCTAAATTTATCATCCCTCTACCAGTAATTATGAATTGTAAGTAAAGGAAAATGTTTACGAAGTCTAGAAAACAAACTTCACAATATTTAGCCACATTGACGTCGGTTCAACAATTAACAATCACACTTTGGTATAATACAATTATCTTTTTTTTTAAATATATTTTTCAGTTTAATTTAAATTTTTTTTCAAGCCGAATACGTAACGGCGAGCATAATCGCGTTTTGCAATAATTATCCATTACGTCGACTGATTTGTCATAACAACCATGACCATTATCATCATGAGTATTCGCGTAAGAAAAATCCTCGACGACCATGAAATTATTCGAATACCCATGCAATGCGTTGGCGAATGCAGCTCATCGTATGCGTATGTGATTGCGTCTGAGAATTCACAAAATTTTTTTTCATTCCACGCAATTTGGATTTGGAAAAGTCTCAAAAACATTGAACTTTCACTGCTTGCCCAGTGTGTCCTTCGGTGCATATTCGTTATTTTACGATCGGTCTGAAGAGTTTGTAAGAGATCTTGAGCCGATTTTTATTATTCTCATCATAATTACCGATTGATCAATTAGGAATGAATGTACCCAATCATTTTCTAATAAAGTTTAACAAACAATTTTTTATTATTTCAAATGTATAACACTAGTTACAGAAATATTTAACTTACAGTTAATCTTTTAAAAAATTTATTTATTTTAGATGCAAATTTTTTTATACTTATTTTTATTGCAATAAAAAGGTGTGCTGTTATTATTTCAGCTGCATCGAAATTCTATATTACTAAAAGAAGCTAATGCCGCGTAAAATTCATGAAACATGTGACGGTGCCATTGGCCGCAGTTGACTTTTTTTGTCGGTTAGTTCGCATACGCGAGGATTCTCCTGTCGTTGAATTTTGTTCGGTTCTCTCCCTCGGCTCCTGTATCCATATTATAAGATCCATTTAATCTTTGCTTTTCAGCGTATGTATCTTCGATCGCTCGCGCGCAGGTTTTTTTACCCTTGCTCGTTTTTTTTTCGCTTGGTTCTGCTACTTCTTATACTACTATGTGTAAACTGAATGGTATACACATCCACCCTCTTTAATCCTTTTGCCTCTTGCTACTGTTTCTGCTTACGTGTTCAACTCTTTTATTTATTTTTTTTTTTTTTTCACCGCCAATTACCGCACATTGCATTCGTGTATGAGAGACTCGACTTATGTCGTAAAATATGAGTTCACGCGTGCTTATTCAATGTCTATTATAAAATTCGAACGTTTTTATCGTACCTTCAGTTTAATAAAAATTACCTTAATGATGTTAATATTTTTTGCGAGTTTTGATACATAGTTTTGGCTTAAAATTAAATCTTAACCACGTGCGTGAATGTCTTACAGATTTAATAACAACAGATTCTGTTTCTTCGATTTATCAACAATGAATTTTCAGGTATCACGGTACGCGCGATGTTAATTATCGAGCGCACTCGCGTAAACCGGTTTTGCGATAAGTTCGCGCCGAAAAAAAGAAGAAAAAAGTGAAATGCAGTAATGTAAAATGAAAAAAAAAGGTATTCGTATACCTTCGTGCATACGCGCGGCAGACAATCAGAGAGAAATGCATAGAGATAGGCACGTGCGAGCGCATAGCGCAGATTTTTCATACAATTATAAATAATTTCAGAACCCGGCGAGTGAAGAAGACGAAGAAGTAAAAAAAGTGTCTTTAACTTTTTCATTCTATGCAAATGCAAATAGTGAAAATATGCAGATTCGTTTTACCTATCCCCACTTCATCTATCTCTCACTTTTTTTTCTCTCTCTCCCCATTCCTTTCGATCAAGCAGCGATAAAAATGTCAGCGCTTCGTGTGAGTATGTCTCGGTTGCGATGCGCCTATTTCTGGGATTCGAAGAGAGAGAGAGAGAGAGAAGGGAAAAACGTCTTCATCTCTGTGCCGTAATATCAAAACGATCTACGTATACTGTTCGACAAAAAGTATTTGCCAAATCCTTTTACGGTGCTATACAGGCCAAAATATCGTCATCGAGGTGCAAGTAATAGCAAAAAAAACATAACAAAAACAAAACAAAAAGGATCGTTCACTTGTTTTCACAGATACATTTTTGCATACATATCGCGAAATTTTTTTTCCACTCGCGCGCATTTTCCCTTTCATCCGCGCTCGCGCGTGCACTCAAGCAGTGACGTATCGAGCTGAGCCTCGTGGCATACCACTATATGCACGTTCGTGTGTAGGTACGTGCAGTACGTGTGTGCGTGCGTGTTGGCGTTATAGTCTCTAACATCTTTTAGGTGTACATCCACGCCTCAAAGGCCACGGAGCTCCTTGTCCTATTTCTGACGTCATGCAGACTGCACACGACCGAAAACACGAGCCTTTGCCAACACAGCTCCTACGGCTGCAATACGAACCGCGGCTATATACGCATAGTTGCTATAGGCTATATATGAGTGAGATAGCGAGAGGAAAGATGAGTATATCCACCCGCGCACTTTCATTACGTCCATATGATACGCGTTGTCTCGTCAATCCCATATGGATCGTTAACGCGTCGGCCTGATATGTCCGCAAAATCGAATATCGAATGCTCGAGTGCAACGTATAATTGTGTAACAAATGTTCGTCGACGTGGCAAGTATAAAAACCATAATCACGCCTATTTGGCTGATAAAATAAAGCGGCCCTCAACGATATATGTATAGCTCGTTAATACTGTGACAAGGGGTAAACAATCTTATTTCACCGTACGTTTACTATTTACGTTTGACCGTACCGAAATAATTCAAAACTTTTCTGTGACCCTTTTTTTTGATTTTAGGATATCGAATATATAATAAGAATTGCATCAGATTTTCAATAATCCATAATGATTGAAAACATTTTTATAAAATTTTCACTTACTTTTTAAACGCTTTTAAACTCGTTTCATGCCTACAATTATTCCATGAAATTGATGACTGTTGACAATTGAATTCTATTATTTGTTACGTATTCTATTATTGAATTAACGTACATCACTGAGAAAAGTGCCTTGGAAAAAATTAATGTTTTCATAGTAGTTGAGGAATATACTCGAATATTATACTTCAAAAATTTGTCCCTTACATGAGATACATGATTTCATTTCTTAAGGAGGTTCGGGAGTCTCAGCGAAATGCAGCCAAATTTTTAAAACACGTTTAATTGCTTTGAAACTTTATAATATGAATGTTAATATCAAAATACAACTTTTCACCGCAAAATTTTGTTAAAATGATGAAAAAATTTTTTGACCATTTAACATGGTTTCTTACGAGAAATCATGAATTTTCGCTTTCAATGAGCATAAACATAATGTAAAAAAACAAAAACTAAATAGAAAAAAATACGTACATGTAGGAAATTTAATAAGGAATAATTTGACTGTAAAAAGAAGTTCATCGACCGTTTAGTTATCGAGAAATAAATTGTTATGTGTAAAAATTCGTGGGTCATTTGCGCGTACCCTAACCAACAAATGAGCTAGAACAACAAAAATATGTGCTCATTCGACTCTAATGACAAATAGAGTATTGTTTTAAGCCTAAAACATCGAAAAAAACTCATCAAAATGATTGAATTATTAATAATAGCTATAATTGTGTGCCAGCTCATTGAAAAAACCTACAATTTCGTGTTATTTCGAAGTTAGGAGCGCTGAAAATTTAACATTGGAAGTATAGGAGCCCCTCGCGTCCCGCTTCGTCCCCCTCTGAGACTCCCGAACCTCCTTAAGGAGGCTGTAGCGAAAATGAAAAAAACTTTAAATCGAAGTGAAATTTTAACCATCGATAGTTTATGAAATTACAAGATTTTTGGTACAAAACAATTTGGGGTTTCCATGCAAATTTGGGAAATAATGAAATTCAAAGTTTTGTCTTTTTAACATTGAATCAAATGGGAAGCGGCAGTTTTTAGTGTACTGTGAGCTCAAATCACTTTACAAGTTAATGAAATTAAAATATGTTATAGGAAATTTCATTAGCTTTCAAATGATATAATTATAAATGGGTGTTTCCAGGCAAATAAAAAAGATATTACAAAGATAGTCAAAAACATTTCCTTTATGTTCTGCCATGCTGACGCTGTGCGCTGCGTAACGCATATAGCCTTGCGCACATAGCGTTTTAATACAGATCCACCTTGCATCGCTACAGCTTCCTTAAATGACGTAATTATAATGACTTAAATTTACAAAGTTCACATTGACAAAACACGGAAAGCCCAGCAAAGATGGAGCATAGAACTGAATTCGTTCGGTTGTTTACGTCGTGCGTTTCATGCATGACCTCCGCGTGTTGCCTGGCTCACGGTATTTTGCCGCTCATGCCATATAGGTCTACGCTACACAGGGACTGTGCGCAGCTCGCCGAACACATGCAGGCATTTTTCATATAAACGCAGTTTTTCAAAATATAGCGAGCATAACACAGCTCTCTTCGACAGTCTTTCAAAGTGAAATTAGTTCGATACGTAAAATCACCGTGGAAAGATTAATAGTTAACGAGAAATATGGAATGTAGTGGTTTATTTAACAAGGATATCAGGTAAATTTTAGTTTTTGAAAATGAAATGATAAAAATATTGGAACAAAATACTTGATCTCATTGGAGTTATTTTAGAGTAAAAGAGGAACCCAATGATATGTCGCTTATTGAAAATAATTGTAATATGGCTGACGAGATACCTGATCTTAAAAACTTCCAACTTTTACCAATTTTACAAGAAAATTCAGTAAGTTTTGATAAATGTGATTCGTATTTTAGTTGTTTTTTTATGAAATTTCTAACATGGCTTTGATATTTCTACAGAAACATAACCTTCGAAAATTTAACTTGAATCATAACAGTAAATTTGATGACGATGTGGAAATAGTTGTTGAATGTGAAGACGTCAAGCCAAACTTTAATTCATTAACATGTATTAAAATTGAAGATGATTCTCCAAATCTTTTGCGAAATCTAAGAGACAGTGATGTTTATAAAACTCAAAACATAATCAAAACAGAACCCATGGGTGAAGTGAAAAACGAAGTTTTTGGTGACGATTTAGAAAAATCAAATTTGAATTTTGATCGTAAACTTGTGGAAAAAAATAAAAAAAGAAGTAAAAAAAAGTTTAACAACGAACATAACCTCAAATCACATATCGATACAGTGAATAGGATTAATACCCATGCATGCAATATTTGCACAAAGACTTTTAAACAAAAGAGTAATTTGAATACGCACGTTCGATCAGTTCATAATGGTATCACTGTTGCATGTGATATTTGCGGGAAAAAATTCACAAAAAAGCATAGTCTCAAAGTCCACATCGATATATTGCATAGAGGTGTCAGACATGTATGTGATATTTGCGGAAAGAAATTTTCAACGAAGTTTTATTTTAAGTCCCACATTGATGGGGTGCACATGGGTATCACTCATACATGCAATATTTGTGAAAAAATATTCGCAAATAAGAGTAGTCTTAAAATGCACATTGAAACAAGGCACAAGGGTGTCACACGTGCATGTGATATATGCGGCAAGACATTTTCACAAAGAAGTAATCTCAAAACTCACATCGATACAGTGCATAGAGGTTTCGCACTTGTATGTGATAAATGTGAAAAGACGTTTACGCGGAAGTATGATCTAAATAGCCACGTTCAATCAGTTCATAATGGTATCACTCATACATGTAATATTTGCGAAAAGAAATGTTCAACGAGGAGGAATCTCAAGGCCCACATTGATGTGGCGCACATGGGTGTCACACATGCATGTGATACTTGTGGAAAGAAATTTTCAAATAAAAGTAGTCTCCAAATCCACATCAATACGTTACATAGAGGTGTCACTTACTTGTGTGAGTTTTGTGGAAAGAAATTTTCAACGAAGCACTATCTCAAGGTCCACATTGATGTAGCGCATATGGGTGTCGCACATGCATGTAATATTTGCGGAAAAAAATTTTCCCAAAAATCTAATTTGAAAACTCACATTGATACGTTACATAGAGGTGTCACATACGTGTGCGATATTTGCGGAAAGAAATTTTCAACGAAACAGTATCTCAAGGTCCACATTGATGTAGCGCACATGGGTGTCACACATACATGTGATAAATGTGGGAAGACTTTTAATCGGAAGTGTCAGCTGAATAGGCACGTTCAATCAGTTCATAATGGAATTACTCACGTGAGTGAAACTTCCAACGAATTGTTATCTCAAGGTTCACGTGGTTAGGGTGCACAAGGATATCACACATGCATGTGATATTTGCGGAAAAACATTTTCACACAAAGGTAATCTGAATACTTACAGATACGATGCACCACTTATACACCACTTATAGATGAAATACATTTGGAAAAAAATCTTCACCGAAGAGTGATCTCAAGAAAAACTTCATTTCGGTTTATTGTGAAATCATGGATAGTATATACATGAAAACATATTTTCTCCTAAAATTTGTTCTAGAACTCTCATTGATATAATGCACACCTGTAAGATGCACTAAGGGTTGTATCATAGCTCGATTGTATCGTAATTGTTCAAAAGAAAAATTTAACGTTTTTCATTGATATCATGAGTTCCTCCAATGTTATCTCATTACGTAGCTACAATGTTTAAATTTAAAGAAAATCAATAAATGTTTGGCGGAAAATGAAGCACACTATTTATTGTCAATCTATAAATTGTTAAACACGTGAAGTTGATATTAATGTGATATATGTTGCAAGTGCCGTTTTATAACTTTCTTCTATTTGAATTGAATCATTGCAAAATTATTTAAGCTATTCAGTACATCAATTTAATGAAATGGAATATTTGGCTGTAATAACTCATGGTTACTATGAATGTAGTAAATTTTTCTACGGTATTTTTCTCATTATAGTTTAACGCACACACCAAAAACTGTACCATTTGAAAATATATTTTTTGAACTATAAGGGATTTTTATTTTTTTACTCGATGTTTAAAAAAAGAAAGTCAGAGAAAAGTTTCAAATGATTTCGGATTGGTCAAACGCGAGTAGAGTCAGTCAATATACGGGAAAATGCGATTTTTGGTCAACAGGAATACAATAATAATTACAATCATTATTTTCGCCTCGAATTTTTAACTACATTTTTATAGATCTGCTCTTGTATTAACTAGAAGGTGGTTCAATTCTTCCACAACTAAAAACGTGCATCCACGTTTTGTTATTGGTGCCTATTTTACTGATTCAAAATTTTGAACTATTGCACAATCGAACGCCCTATAGCGTATACGTATTCGGGTGCACATGTACTCGATATTACATATAGGAGTCTCGCTCGCAACGTGTGCTCGCATCGCGGCACGTTCACCATCATGGCGTATATATACAGTCCATGCGCCGAGCTCGCGAATCCAGAGAGTAGTTACAAGGCTGCAAGTCGTTCTCCAACTACTTACTTCTTCTTTCTCTCTCTTTCTTTTGAAGCTGCTGCTGCTGCTGAACCGATGCAGTACTATACACAGCTCGAGCTCTCTGCCACCTCCAGTTGAAATCTCTTTCTCTCTCTTTCTCTCTTTCCCTCCTGCACTCGATGCAGCGCGCGTGTATTATGCAGCACAGGCTCGAGTGCATGCATGTATGTATGGTGTATATACGCTGCAGCCTGTTGCCGCTGTCCCCGAAGCCGCAGGTACCAGCTATATATATACAGTAAAAGCAACAGCTCAGTTTGCCTTTTAACGTCGGCAGTTACGGACCTATATCGTCCCTATAACACCGAGGTCGTCGGACACGAACGTAAACGAACTTTTTTTCCCTCCGCCTGACTGCGTGTTTACATCGACTTTGTCTTCTGCTGCATTTAGCGCCTAGTATAGCAGCTATTTTGTTTTTGGGTACAGCGCGCCTTAACCCCTTTCCCGGTGCCTCGAAGAACGTCAATGAAATAATACGAATAGCATCGAAGTGCGATAATATAATTTTCAGTAGCTTCGTCAGCAGCAATAATATACAGCTCGTGGGGGCGTATAATTGCCCATGGTAATTTGTGCATATTACATTCTGTAATTGTGATCGTATCGGTGCGATATCCTTTTCCATATCGAGTCTACGAGTGCATACGTATTATATTTATAAAAAAAAAAAGTGCTCGATCGATGACAGTGTACGATAAAGCTTATGTAGCACATCTATCGACGATTTATTCAGTGCGCGTCCGATACATAATAATATACTAATAGGATGATAGTGGCGAGCCGCATGGACCGTCAGTGCTAGAAAAGATCTCTGTGTTACCCCGTGTGTTGTTGTGTGTACATTGCTATACTATATTCGATCGATACTTCGATTACAATCGTCGATTAAATTAATTGTTCTCGTTTATCGAGATTACTTCGTCTCTATTCCCGGCTCATCGAGTGCATCAGGAGCTAAACAACTGCAGTCATCGTCGTTATCATCCAGAGCTTTTTTCCCAACGAATCGTGAGATAAAAGGCACGCGATATTAAAGTGTGAAGCTGCGAGAGAGCAGGAGAGCTAAACAAGCCGGCGAGTTTCTGCAGAAAAGCAAGAAAGAAGTAAACGTCTGCAACAGGTGCGTCCTTTTCATGCATACATCGTATACAACGTATATCTATATTTTGGGCGAGGAAAAGTGATTCCTTATAGTCTCATACGTGAATGTTTGTATGTGTGCGTGTGTCTGTGTGTGTATGCACCGACAATGATAGCCCCGCGCTGCGTGCACGTATGCCATACAGCCATATACGCGTACGTACGTGTGTGTTTATACACGCTGGGCACGTCGAGGTTTCGGACGTACAAATATAGGTATACAGCACGTACGAATATATGTGCACCGGCGTGCATTCATCCAGCTATATACACACTTGCAGACAGACTTTCCCGTTCTCGCAGCGGCTGCTTATGTATATAACACTATACACTATATGCTGTATTATAGGTGCACGCGCTCGGCTGCATGGCGGCGGCTGTGGCGCGCGTGCGAACGTTGCGTGCGCGCCATCGAGTGAAACGCGCGCAAAGACGTTATACTACGGACGAGACCTTCTCATATACATACATTCGTGAGCCGATTAAATTGTACGTACTCATTTACGCACGGAGTGCATTCGCGTACTCTTTAATATGTATTTTTATATTGGCACTTGTGAGCCGAGAATTCGAAGGTGCAAATATTTGTTTTTTCTCGTTTCTTCGTGCGGTTCGCGTTACGAGCATCATCCTTTCGCGTGACAAGCGATGATTTGATTTGACGCCCGGCTAAAGAAATAGCAGATTATATATTTACGCGATGCAACGCACAATTTTTACAGTATAACAGGCACAAGGGCAGTCTGTGGACTGAAGAGTAATGTTATTGTTACTATGGAATTATGTACAATTCAATAGAGTACGTTGAGATTTGATTTTTGAACTCTTTTTCGTGGTCGATTTCGGTCACGAGCTCGGCTCACGCGTGAAAATAATTCAGATCGTAAGAATAAAGGAGATGTCTGCAAAATTGGCAGTTATTGGCGTGTATATGCGTTCGTTTGTAGCTTATACATACGTAAGTACAACACATAAGAGCAACGTATATGTATACGGCCAATCGTATAACACACATAAGTACAGGTTACATAAATCGGTAGTTGGTATCGGTAGTTTATTTCTAGGTAGTACTCTCGTACATTGGCAATCGATACACGCGTGTGTATATATATATACAACGGGACACAGGGAGTATCGATGTACAGACTACTCCGCGCACAATTTAAAGTGTCTGTCTGCTCTTTTTACGAGTAATGCGCTTCGTTATATGGGCAAATCCGCCAAATAGGAACACTTGCGGTAACTTTTTGTTGTGATAACCTATCAACGAAGAAAACTGAAAAATATATAAGGAATAAATGCTTGGTCCATTGTTTGTTTTAAAAATTTAACATTAATTTCGATTTATCTTGTCGATGAAAACAGTTGTTGAAACAAACTGTAAAACAAGCTTCAAATTGAGGATTTTAAATGACATTTCTGCAAAGTTTCATAAACATCTGTTGTCGACCCGTTTTACTGATGAGCCACCTTGAATGACCTAAAAATAATATTTTGATTTTTTTTTAAATTTAGACCTGCTTTCAGTCACTTTAAATACGATAATATCAGTTCAAGTTTTTATCACTAGATGGCGAGTATCTTCATATTTAAATCTGCAAGTGTCAAAGGAAATATAATTGTATAAGTCAAAGCGCTTTTGTTATGATTGTTACGTTTTTGAAAATTGTCGTCTGTATGTGTGACATTAAAAACAAGTTTTTCATGTCAGCAGAAAAATTTTATTCGGTTCATTCGATTTCACAGAGAATCGACCATATGTAACCGCTTCGCTTCTTACTTGATACATAATAGGTTAAACCTAAATGTCATTATTTATCCAGGTTTTAAGAGTCGCTTAAAGTGTGCACACGTATAAAAGAGGTAATGCAGTTAATCGACAGGTTGCAACGGAGAACAAAAAATTTGGAATCGCTTATCTATTTTATTACGACACAAAATGTGTACCCGTTCCCCGTTCGCTCGCGTATAGAGACAGAGCGTATTATACGTATATTAGAAGCGAGATAACACGTTCGACTTTAAGAATAACAATATTGCAATAATTGTGGAGAAATATCTAATCTGTGGCCCAACGTTTCATTACGGGTGATTAAGATACAATTATGTGTATTATACAGCAGAGGAGGGGTTGGTAATTGAATTACGCGATTATATTTCGTGAGATTGAAAAAAAATCTCATCGCTATTATGATTTTTTTTCCTTTTTAAATGCAACTGGACTTTCTAAACTCATATGTAGCTCAGCAGCAGCAAACACACACTTGCACTGCACGCACACGAGTATGGGCACTGCTCCATTTACAAAGAAGTGAGAAATCTCCTCCAAGATCCGTAAATAAATTACTGCACTTAGCACAGATATTTCATTGAAATTCCCTCGGGTCGGGCGGCGGCGGTGGTGGTAAATTTTCGACTTTATAATGAACGAGTCGCTATCGTATTTTTCCGTACCAGCTGCTTGGCACTGCACATTTCATTGACCTAAGCGTAGACGCCTACAACAAGGTGACGTTTTCCTCTCTCTCACTCTCCCTGTGTCTGGTCTCTCTTTCTCTCTCTTTCTCTCGTTACGTGCGTGGCGGCGTCGTCGGCGGCTCTCGTATGTAATAGCACGAGCGAAATAAATCAGGCGCCTTTTGCGACAATGTGAATTTTTCCAGCTTGACATTCGTAGTCATCGCACATATATACAGAAAGAGAGGGAGAGAGCTTATATACCGTATGGTCGTGACCACGGTACACATGCACGCGGCTCACTAGTCTCGCGTTATACACCCGAGACAGAACGAGCAAGAGACCGAGAGAGAAGACGATATGAGTGCAAGTGGACGCGCGTCGCGGCTTCGTCCGGCGGCTCTTAACGTCGCCCCGGCTATTAATGAGCTCTTGCTAGGACTGCAGCCTATGTATGTATGTAAAGGGCCTTGTGACTTCAATCAATGTCTCGCGCTGCAAAGTAATTAATGCATTTTTGCGTCTCGGCTCAAAGGGCCACAGCTGCAGTCTCTACGTGTATATAAGAGCGACTCTTAAGCCTCGCGAATAAAACGTATATATAATTAATTCTCTCTCTCTCTCTCTTTCTGTGTGACGATGCCGCGCTCTCTCGGCTTCTGATCTTATAACGTTAAAATGAGCTGATAAAATTTTGATTCGATTGAAAAATTTAATTAGATCGATACTCGAGATTCAAGTCAGCCCCTTCCAATATTTTCGCCTTATCTATCTCGGACCGGATCATAAGGAACGAGTTTCTTATAATAGTTGAGTGGCTTCTGAAAACTTAAAATTTCGATCGCGTAATTTTTTTTTAGCTATCTCGTATAAATTGAATTATCGATCAAAAGCATAATCGATTTTCAATCAATTATGTTCATGGTTACAATCTTGTCTCATTTAATGTAGGAGCACTTAAGTAAGATTCGCGGAAAAAAAAGAAGAAACATGCAAAGAAAAAAAACGTCTTTGTTATATTGAGCTGTCTCTGTTAAATCACTGCCAAGTACGCATTCCGACACGAAGGGAAGGGCTTGAATGGGTGGTTAACTTGTTGCTTTGCTTTCTACGGTATTCTTGTGTTTTCTTTTTACTCATTGATATACCTTTTTAAACCAGATACTTAGCTATCTCTGTCTTTCTCTTTCTCTCTCTCCGTCATTTGTAGCAATAATTTTCAACTAAACATGCAAAAGACTGTACGATGCTAATATGCGATTTTTGGGTGGTATCGAAAATATATTCTCATGTTTATCATAAATATTTCTTACGTCCGACCGCATGCGATGATAACTAAATTGGCTGCGGTATATTGCCTTGTTCAATAAATGTTTTAACTGTATGCGAGACCATTCATTATAATTTATCTTAGACCTTTTTGAAAAAATCATTACGAAACGTTTGTTGCGTAACTCGCGTCAAACTTTTTTTTCATTTAATTTCCAAAAAAAGAAATGATTAATGCATCGAACATTTATAAATTTCAATTTCTGAGTTACGGCAACAGAGATCTTTTTTTATGAACTACATTTTGAACGAAAAGAAGGATTTGGGAAAGCAACGTAAGACGTATTTCTGTCATTATCACGCGTTTTTATTTCCCTCGTTTTGAAGTTTTTTCAATTTTTAGCTTCAGGACAGCTTGCATCCTTATAAATACTGAGTTATTAATGTACGGAGATAAGATTTTTCGAATATTTAACAAGGTCTTTCATTTATATTCGCTATTTTTGAAAAAAACTTCGCTTTCTACTTGCAATTAATCATCTCTTCTTTTTGGTCTCATTTTCTTCTCCTTCTTTCGGATACTCCTGGGTGTGAATTATTACATCGATCCTCGAGATATATCATATACATACATGTGTGTGTTCCTTTTTTTCGCTCGTCAACTCTGGTGTAAAAAATTAATCTTTGTAAATACGAATTATTCAAGAAATGGTGGATCTTCAAAAATACAGGTACGATGGCGAGGAGTTTGGGAAAAATGCAAAAGAATTATTGATAAATTCGAGTGTGTCAAAAAGCTTGAGCATGAAAAAAAACATCATCACGGAGAGCTTTGTCAGATGAAGAAAGAATAATATGAGTGAATCATACTAATAATAGATCTTATGTAAAAAAAATTAACCCACGCATAGCTTGATATTTTACGTGCACGGGTGCGGACAAATATAATAATGAAAGTATTTTACGAAAGTATCAAACCACATCGAGGAAATAGCGAATTTTCGGCTAAATTTATAATATAATTATACCAAAACATGACAGCTTTTGAGGAGCTACTTTACTTTTGACACATAATGTATTTGTATGCGAGTCTTGAAAAAACTACATGCATTCAGTTGTCGCCGTTTAATTTGGTAATGATGGTAAAGCGTAAACCCAGCGAAGTAGTTACGCCTCGAAAAGGCAGAAACTTACATGTTCGAATATTGCGTGCTCATATAAATTGAGATATCTCCCCTACAAGCTTAGTGAGGCATGTGCTGGGCACCTGTGCGAGAAACTATCGAAAAGATTTTTTCGGGCCTGGGTACCTACTGGATTTTTATTTTTTGGAGATGATATACACAATACAAACGACTGCCGATTGAGTGCTGTGAATCGATTATCCAGCAGCTAATTAAACATAAGATTATCATATTTGCTTGGCAGCTGCAGGCTGGAACTCGTGATAGTGATAACCATATTTTCAGTATTTTTTAATGATGCATTTTTTCATATTATGTAAATAAATGAATTTAAAAAATTAGTTTCGATTTTTTTATTGATCGTCATCTGAAAAAGACAATATACTCAATAATAAAATCTTGCATGCGCTCGTAGGCGCGCGCCCGCGTATAAATACAACAAAGCTATGCGCTTCGAACACACATCGATGCTGCAGGGTCTACGTGTACGTGTGTGCGGTGGCGATTTACGACACGACGACGGCGACGTTCGTCATGCAGGATGCGCGGCACGCTATACACCATGTGATCGACGCCACTGCACAGTCTCTCTTTCTCTCTCTCTTTCTTCGTTCGTGATATAAAAGTCTATACAATGAAAATGTCTTTCTAAGACGATGAGTATTGATTTGCGCGCCTAAAGACAGAGAGAGAGAGAGAAAGAGAAGGCTTTAACGTGAAATTTCGTGGGTGCAATTTCAATTGGATCCTTTCAGAGAAATTGCATGCGCGTATATAGACAGTAAGAGGGTCGATGAACGTTTATTTGCACATCGTTGTCGGGAGTCGGAGAGGTCGAGTTGTTTTGTTTTTCTTCATCTTTAAGATTCTTTTTTTTCTCTCTACAATTTTGGATAAAATATTTCTCTCGACTGGGCCGAGGGAGCCACGAGAGCTGCGAAACTTTTACTTTTAATATCATGAAGGATTCACGTTTATTTCACGAATATAAATACGTCGTTTGGTCGTTTGCATCGGGCGCGCGACGTACGTTGCCTAAAATATAGCGAAAATACACATGTATAAAGTTATCGATTTCTGCCGATAATAAGTGATAGATGTTACGCGGAGCAAGAAAAGAAAGTTTTTAACAACGCCAGGCCGCTCATTTTTCATCGCGTTTCATTGCCGCCCCGAGGCGATTCGCCTCTATATATAATACGTGCTGTAGCAGCAGATACGTATTTGTGCATATGCAAACTCCCTCTGCATCTCTCATTGGGTGATGTTCACACGTCACGCGGTTGTGCACGGCTCACATATCTCTCTCTCTCTCTCTTTCGTTTGCTCTTCGACATTCACATAAGGCTCTGAAGCTGCGATGATAATAAGCCATGCACTCGTTCTCTCCCTCTCTCTCTATGTATAACGTATAAATATATGTTAATTTTCGTTAGGCATCACCTACAACTTTGATATATATAACTTATAATGCCTCGGTATGAATCATGATTTTTGTTTATCATTGCACGGGCGCGCGAGGAGTCTCGAAACGGAGTGAAGCGAGAAGGGAAAAAAATTTTCACGCCGTTGTAATGAAGCGGGATGCGCTTGTATTCCGTCTCTCTCTCTTTCTTTCTCTTTCTTGCATACATTTATATGCACACGCGGGTGTACGTGTGTACGTGTGTATTTGTGTAAGCGTGCGTGTGTGTGTGAGCAAGAGCCTACATGTGGGAAATGAAAATCGTTTATTTGTGCGTGCGTATATACTACTCTCGGTGCGAATGTCCGACGTGTAATTTATCACTGTGGAGAGCGAGAGAGAGAGAGAGAGAGAAACGGAAAATGTCCGAGAGATATGTTTGTTACACGCAGAGAGCAGAATACATATAAATATTTTTTTCATTATTATATATTCGTCTTTCGCGCGCGTGACTGATATTGCCCGA